ATATCATATGATTATTACAAGCTACAGCGAATACATATATTTTCAGCAAGAGAGACCAAAAACATAAATTTTGCAGCTCTCTTTTATCTGTAAAACTATAATTACTTCAGAACTATTGCACTCAGGAGAAAGCCTTAGCGGCAACTGAACTCTTTGAGACTATATCTAAAATTGACAAATAAATTTTATTTGAGGATCACTAACTCTTAGTTTACTTGTATGCATGCCATCTAGAGCTATGTATATATATGTGATCAATTATGAAGAGGGTTTGGTCCACTAGGAACTAGCCTACGAGAAACTGCATGAACTTGCTTCAACTTACTCTTCCTTGAGTTCAAAGAAGAGAGAACAGCAGAATAACTCTGAATAAACATCGAAGAAACTTTCTTTTCTGATGATCTCCTTTCCAATTCTACATGGTTTTCTAAACGAGAGGTTGAATCTTGAATTGAAGACAGCAAGATAGTGAGAATCAGAAAAAGGGTTTGCATGTTTGAAACTCTCATAACTGTGATGAAGATTTGGAGCTAGAAACTGAGAAAAAATAAAAATATATAGTTTCTATGAATATATGTTGGCTGAGTTGAAGTCTAAGAAAGATTAATGGCGTGTCTATAGCGGTGTAGACATTAGAAAATAGGAAAATTAGAAGCTCTGGTGAGAAAAAAAATGAAGCAAAATGAATATATATATATATATATATATATATATATATATATATATATATATATATATATATATATATATATATAATATGGACAATGAGAGAAGCAGAATGTGAGACTCCCTTATGCCAAATGTCAAAACTTGACTTTTCAGAAAGCGATGAGTGGTTGCCAAATTAATCCATTGATGATACGCGGTGCAAGTTGTCAATTCTTGAGTGTGAAAATTTCTTTGAAAATGGACATCATATATTTCACAAACTTGCTTCAAACCTCAGCTTTGTCATGCTAGATTCATGTAAACCGAGGCTAAAATTTCATTGTGGTGTGGTGTTTGTGTTTGAAACAGCTGGCATACAAATTCCAATACGAAAAGAAAAGAGAAACAGTGATGCATGCAAGTATTCTTTTAATAATGGTTTTTGTATTTTAATAAACCTAATGCGACCAAAATGGGGGTCTCCCCAGGCTGCTTTGTTAAAATATACAAGATATTGTCATTATTGTTGTTAATTTAGGAAAAAGACAACCTAAATTCTTGACAAACTTTGCTAATTATTGCATAATATTCTATTGCCAATTTTACATTCACTAAAACCAATCTATGTTCAATTGCTTGATCGAATAGAACACTTTAAAAGAAAATTTACTTGAGAGGGGTATGTACTTTGAAGGAAAGAAGAAGCATGTAAATGGGTTGCTCAATGGATTACTTGAATTGAAATATTAATTTTTTTTGCTTTACAAAAGTAAGTTTGACTCCTTAATTAAGAGGACTGAATGAGTTTAAAAAAAATGTAGTACAAATATTAACCTGTATTTTAAGGGTAGAATTGCAAGATTTTAATTGCATTATATTTAAAATCTCGTTGACTTTAAATACAAGGTGAATTTCAACAAGGTTAGCCAGATAACAATGAGTTTGAATAAGATACAAGAATCAATTCTATTCAATAAAATTAAGATGATAATATGAAAACAATATTTGTTGTTGTCTCTAAATACAATAAAACAGACCTGGGAAAAGAAAAATGCTTGGGAAAAGAAAAATGTTATAAATATATATAAAATAGGAAGAATTTTCTATTAAAGAGGTTCATCAGGTGCATAAAAGTTCTAAAACATTAATTAGGCATTTTAAGGAGTTAGTTAAAGAATTAGCACTAAAACTATTTATTGAAAATGTTATTGATGTATTTGTGATACTAAAAAATTACCATTTTTTTTTATTAATTCTTTTACTTATGTTAACCTGATTTGGTATAATAATTCATATTTTCTTGTCTCATTAAGTATGGAGTTAATACAAATTTATTTGCCTTAAAAAATAGGTGATCTTATGAAGGCTAAAAAACGTTGACAGCATCTTTAGAGGGGCCTTGAACTATTGAAGATACAATTTTGTGATTTGTAATAGTCAGAATATTTATATGCATACATAAGCTAAATAGTGGAGGTTCAAAATAACTCCTATATTATTAATAGAGTTTAATGGATAAGTACTAATAATGTAAAATAAAAATAATATATTTAGATAAATTTTTTATTAATTAATTTATTTATTTATTTAATCATATTTATCATTTTTATAATATAATATTTTTCTTCTATTAATATTTTTTTCTCTCTTCTCATTAAAATTTTATTTCCTCCCTTGTTTATTCATTTTATCTTATTCTTTTAATTAAAATTATCGTCGAGGAGATTAATCTTTTTTTAAAAATAAAATATTTAAATTATTAAAAAAATTATAATTTAATATATTATGTTTTAAAATAATATTATATAATAATTTTTGAAATATTATAAATATTATTATTATATTATAATTAATAAGAAAAATAAAGGTTTATTCTAATTTTTTTAATAAGTATATTTTTCTTTAAATTATAAATAAATTAAATTATTAAATAAAAAATAAATTCAACTTATAAATATTTAATTTTTAATTAGATAAATAATTGATTTTTTATGATAAAATAATCTTATATTAATTATTTACAGTTAAATATATCATTATAATTTTAAATTATTAATTAATATTTTTTTAAATTTCAATATTAATTTTAAAAAGATAATTTAATATATTTTTATTAAATTTTAAGATAGTAAATTTAATTAAAAAAAGTGAAAAAGGAAAGATAAGATCAAAATATATTAGATAAAAAAGGAAAAAATTATATATAAACAATAAATATATCTAATTAATTAAACAAATTGAAAGAGATTTTATTTGAATAATTTTTCTTTTAAAATATATTATTAGATTTATTTATAAAATAACTCTAGGTGACCATTAAAAAGATTTCATTTATACAAAATTTAAGATAGTTATAGTAAAAACAAATAAAAACCTAATTATTTAAAATTTACTATACATGATTATCATGATTATATATATCATATAATTAATCAATGGTTAAGTTCATAAAATTTAGCATTTACAAAATATTATCTTAACCTAATATATTTTAATTCTTATATTTTTCAAATATACTTCAGTATTTTAATCTACAAATAACTCAAAATTTTATTTATTAACCATCTCAAATTACGCACAATAAAATATAGGGTCAAAGAAAATCACTAACTGGGGACTGATGTGTATTTCAAAAGTACAACTTATTATTATTTTTTTATGAAATTAATTAGTAATGGCTTTTGGTACTTTTAGACTATCATAAACATATTCAATAGTGATAAATTACCACAAAATACCTGCAAATTTTGAAAAATGGAAAAGAAGTCATACTCTAACTTACTCCCTGTTAATATTGTATTTTATTTTTTTTAAAAGAAAACACTTCGTATTAATAAAAATTTCAAAATCCACACCAGTTGGTAATTTCAGAAGATATATTATTTCATTTCGGTGACAAAGCTTAAGATTTTTTAAAAAATGTGCATATATAGCACAACCCAACAATAAGTTAATGAATAAAATAGCATACTTTTTTCATATAATTATTCAAAACTTGGTTTTTTATTTGTTAGTGTACAAAACAACCCTTATCATATAAACTACTACACACTCCAATTTTGGAATATATTTGGGTACTTTTGGACAGGTTTTAGGTTTAGTATAATTTGTTTTCAACTTGCTATTTCCAAAGAGTGCAATTAATTTTATTAGTGAATATTTTGTATTTAAATTATTTTTCATTTTATCCTTTAAATGATATACATTATGCAGTTTAAGGACAAAAAGTGTAAATAAATATGTGCGCTGAAAATGAATACCACCTTTGTGTACACTATATAGTAATGATAAAGTAAATGACTTTTTTCAATCAACTAAGTTAAAAAAAATATTGGTCATTTGAAACTATTTTCTTATTCATCATCTTATCCATAAAATCTTTCTTTCGGAAATTAAGTTACAAAAATAGCTTTAATTCATATATAAGTGAATTTAATTGTTACTTATAAAAATATTTATTTTTTTCTCTTATTATTTTATTCTCTTTCTAATTTTATAACATTAAGGATTTATCCGAAAATTTACAGGATATTCTATATCTTGAATTCCTCACAAATATTAACAAAGTTAAATTAATAAAAGAGAGAATAATTCATCTGCTGGAAGATATAAATTAATCTTGAACTCACTCTTTTTGTTAATCAATAAACTTAGATTTATGAAGAGAAAAATATCTCATAGAAATTCAAATAGTTGACACCCAATATAACTCTACTACAAATATTACTATTATATTATGTTAATTATTATTATTATTATCTTTGTCTAACAACTGCATCTAAGAAAAGTGGCTATCAAATAATCTTTTCCCTTCAAATTACCCTCCATAATCCTGTGTTCTTTCTTGCTATTTACACAGAATACTATACCGAATTGTCAGAAATTTATTGGACAAAAAATGTGACAGGATTTAGATTTATCTACGTGTTCATAAAAGATTATTTCATCTTCGAGAAAAGTACTATTCCAATCAAACAAAAGATCATCGATCTAGTAGAACTCGTATATAGTATGGAAAGATTATCTCATCTTCGACAAAACTATTATTCCAATCAAACAAAAGATTATCGGTCTAGTAGAACTCGTATATAGTATGGAATATAACAAGAGATCTTATTTGAATTTTCTTCTTCTTTACTTTTTTTTTCAGTAACTTTAGTTTACCCCGACAATTGATTATTTATAAAACTGAATGTTCAAGCAAAAACTATAACTGAATGTTAAAGCAAAAACTATGTTGCAGAATGATGTCCTTATCTTCTAATCCCTGTCTTACAAGTTCTCCGATGGAGTTTTTTTTTTTTTCTCTTTTTTCTTCATTTCTGTCAGGGGTATCGGTGGTATCGCAACCATTACTCTTCCTTATCTGCATCAATCTTTGAAGGGGTTTTATCACTTTTCACAGCGGTAGTTTCTGATTTTCCATCTTCACTCGGCTTAGCATCTGCAACATCAATATCACGTGACGTAGATTCTGATGGTTGGGCAGGGGACTCTGATTCAGTTACAGGAACTTCGCTTTTAACAGTTCCAACTTTTACATACTTGCTCATAAACTTATATTCCCAGTCTTGTAAGGCATCAAGCTCAAATGGACCAAGGCCAGAAATATCTCCAGTTAGATCTTTATCTTCAAAAGACATCTTTGCTAAAGCCCTGCTAGCATCCTTGCCAGCAAATAGGGCATAAGGTCCACCAGGTCCATAAAACATCCTGGAACGACACAGTTCCACGTGATAAAAATAGTGGGGTTAAAAACCCAATCGAAAACATATTAAGTAGCAAAAAATAGCTCATCACATATGTACATATTCATTCTAGCCTGATAGAAAATGAACTATGTTGTCAAGCAAAATCATGTATCACGTGAGTTTCTTGGATTTTAAAATTAAAAGCATATACTCTCTTAAAGAAGGCCAAGGTTCATAGTTTTAACACAGAGAAGTCCGGCTGAGCTAAAGTGGCTAGGAGCAGATTAAACAGAAAACATACAGCAGAAAAAAAATAATGCTTCTTGTAATAAAAATTAACTGAAACAAGGACAAAATATGTAAAAAAAAAAAACAGAGTAAGTTTCAGCACAAATACTTAGGCAGAAATCAGGATGCTTTGGACTGAATCTACAAATAATAAAAATGGGAATCATAGATTAGAAACTCTAGTGTTTCATCTCATAGGCATATCGACAAAGTTCTTCTATCAGAGACTTACATGATACATGTATCAAAATTGTATGTAAATCCTTAACTTATAGGACAGACTTGATTTAGGATAATAATTTAGATGCTCCAAGTCAACATTACTTATGGGTGAAACTTAACATGTACACAAATCCCATATTTGCTATTGGAAGGTAGAGAGAAATTCACATTTACAATAGAAAATGACTGATCTTACATAACTCAACTTCTCAAAACAGCATTTAAGTCAACCTCAAACAAAGTTAAGCCCAATCAAAATAAAGATCAGAGTGTGTACAACATTTTTTAAACTTTGAGATGGGTCAAGGTGTACACAAACATGTAGTAGGCATAAGGAGTAAACACTGAAAGTTCCACCTTCAACCCACTCAACAAAGCAAACAGTGAAGTTAATGTAATTGGGGTCGATGGAAAATGTAGCGTTGAGAACTGAACCAGCCAGAACTTCCACGAAAACAAAAGTTTCTATAAATCCATCCTAACCAATGTACTTTGCCCCGTTTATACTACGGTTAGAAAATCACTTCTCACACTTTTCAATAAACAACAGACACACAAGAAACTCTTTAGACGCGCATTCTAATTAGGTTCAACAGTTCAAACTAACTCTGCTCAACTTTTAAACAAACAGGTCCTCAATAATACGGGGAACATTTTATCTTCTCATCACATGTCACAGTAACAACAAAAAAGAGACCCTTATAAAAAGGAAAACCTTTACAGAATGCAAAAGTACCCCCAAACTCACAAATTTGAAAGACACAAAAGAGCACCAGAAAAGGCATAAATAGGAAAATTTTAAAGAAAGAGAAAGATATTACAGCAAAAACAATAATTGAACAAGATTAACCTTAAAAAAACTCTAACTTGGAAATAAGGCATGGACTATTCTAATGCTTAATAAATAAATAAAATACCCGAAACCAAACATAAGTATAGACCATCAAAATATAACACGATAATAATACAATAAAACAAAATAATAAAAAAATGGGTCCATTTTGTGTGACGGTAAACCTGCTCTGAGAGACATCGTAGATCTGACCCTTGATGGCCATAAGCAAGGGTTTCTCGGTATCAGAGCCGTCGTAGGCTTTGAGCTCCTCAGCCGTGATCTCGCCGAGCTGGACCGGCGGGCGCAAAGGCGGCATCTCCTCCTCCTCGATGTGGCGGGGACGGTGGTGGTCAGGGGAAGCCCCAAAGAGACCTGTAATGACATAGTAAACGGCCAGAAGAAGCGCGAGCACCGTGAAGAAGGTGGAAGGAGTTAGGCCAGTGTAGACCACTATGGCCTCTTTCAAGGTCTCCCACAGTTGCACAGCCATCACTTACGTGTTAGATAGAGAAAGTGAGGAGGCTGGGAAGAAATGAAATATGTGATTTGATTTGGAAATAGTAATATATAGCGATGAATGATGAACTCAGAATCTCGAGGCTGAGGGTTTGGTCATGAATTTTTGTCGCATCCTCTTCGCACCTAATCCCACATTACAGTCTTCTTTATGTTTTTCTTTAAATTCAATTTAGTTATTTGTCTTTTTAAAAAAATAATCTATAATATATATTTTCAATCTATTCAAAAATTAATTTGGTTCAATTCAATTATTTTTGATTCCTTTCATCAATTTAATCTATATATACAATTTTTTTTCTTATTTTACTTTTAAAAATACTTCAAAATGAATTATAACAAGGAAAAACAATGAAGAATATGTCTATCAAATATTATTTTAATATACATTTTTATATTCTACCATACAATTAACATCAAAGGAAGATGTTGAATTATTTATTATTATATAAATATATAATTTGAATATGTCATTTATATTAATATAAATGATATATGACAAGTACCATGAAATAAATTAATAACAAATATAACATAATTAATAAAGTGGTGGATTTTAATTATCGTTGGAATATTAACAAAACTAAAATATGTTTTTAGAAAAATTATTTTAATAAATAAGATATATTAATAATAAAATAATATTTCAACAAAACAATCATATAAGTAAATTTTTAATAAATTTACAAAATTTAATATATATATATATATATATTTGTATATTAAAAAATAAAACGAATATATTTTATAATATATTTTACCAATAATTAAATTTAACATTTTGTTTGCTTTTAACTCTGTGTTGTTTATGAAGAAGTGAGTGGATGAAATTAATGAAAAATGTTGAGTTACAGAAGATTTTGGTGTATGTATGTAAAGCATCCACCACATGTTTTACAATTTCTTCATGTGCCAATTTGTACAATTACCATACTAATTTTGTTTTATGATTTGCTACACCCACTATCAATATATTATTGAAAGAGATTTTTCATAGTAGATTGTGAAAGAAATCATAATCAGTTATATTATTTTATAATGAGTTATGTATTTTTATAAATAGTAGTGCTAGAAAACGTTATTGTTCTCTACTCTATTGTTTGAACGGGAATGATTATTTCATTATACAATACTTGTTACAATATATCAGGGCTGATGAGTTGAAGTTAATTTAATTTTTATATTATTAAATTAATTACAACTTGTTTACTTAATTTTATCGTATCCTCTTGTGAGTTCAAAATTTGGGTGGGGTGCGAGGTTAGGTGAATTAGGAATGGGTGGCGAAGCTCCCAAGGAAAGATTGGAATTTGGAGAATGAAGGGAGTCGTTTTCTACTCCCAATAGCTGCAACTTGCGAGGGTTGGCGTTTTAATTTTTGCATGTGAAATTATTATGAGTTCATTGAAAAGGATCTAGTCCCATCACCTCACACTAAATCTTGGTACCATTATCTTCACTACAATGTTAAAACCAATAATGTATCCGGAATGTAATTTTTTATACAAAAAAATTTCATTAACCTTCGCCCACTAATTTTAATTTCTATGATAAAAACATTATTCATGATATCGGGGTTAACTTCACACAAAATTTTACTGATTTTTATATTTTTAGTGATTATCGTTCCTTGCTTAAGTATTTATTTATTTTAAAGATTATCCCATTTCAATATTAGATACTTTATTAAAAATTATATCTCTAATAAAAAAAATTATCTTTTGAAAGGTTCATCATTAATATTGATATTGATATTAATATTAAATCAATCTTTTATGAAGAAACTTGTCAAAATAACTACTTCATCAAAATTATGAATGGTAAAATTTAAGTATTTGAAAGATGAATTACAACAAAAACTTCTCCAAACATATCAATAGTTTATTATAAATAGGTTTATAAGATAAAATATAATATGATGATTTTATTAATAAATATAAAACAAAATTTGTGAGAAGATATTAACTATGATAAGATGATCTTGATTACAATGAAACTTTTTTTTTTACAAAATAATGATAAGACTTTTTTTCTCCTTAACAATTATTCATAATTGATATTTTAAATAATTATAGGTTGAAAATGTCTTCTTCCATGGAAATTTATACAAGAAAGTATATATGAATTTCTTTTTATATTTCTTACATTACATAAAAGATTTATCATTTATCAATTTTTATATAGATTCAAATAGGGTGATCATTAGTAATATACTAAACTATAAACCTTTCTTATTTTCAAAAATTATAAATGATCTTCTATCAATCACTCGTAATTTTTTAAATTTACAAGTTTGAGCATTGAAACTCTTTTTATTTATGTTGATAATATTGTTTAAATGAAAAATGGTGCGGATCCAACATCAGTACACAATTGGATAAAACTTTTAAAGTTAAAAATCTAGAAAATCTTACCTATTTTCTTGATTTTGAAGTTGTTAGAAATAATGTCGAACTATACATTTTCTAGCATAAACATACTCTTGATTTACTTATTCACAATGATATGTTTGCATCTACTCCAGTATCTATTCATATGAACTATTCAACAAAAATATCTAATGATATTGACAAATCCTTACCTGATCTTACTACATATCGACATCATTAGTCATCTCATATACTTAACTAATATCAGATCGAATATAACTTTTGATATTCATCATTTCAACTATTATGTTAACGTTTATATATTTGTCTATCATGAAACTATCCAACATATCCTCCTTTACCTCAAACATGCATTAAGGAAAGAAATCTTTTTCGACAAAACAACACCACCCACTTGAAAGAGTTTAGTGATTCTAATTGAGTTTCTTGTTCCGATACTCATTATTCTACTACTAACTATATTATAACTTAGTCTTTTAAGATACAAACTATCATTTCAAAGGAGTTGAATACTGAATTTTAATATCCACAACTTCTGATGAGATTACTTATTTTCAGAATAATTTTAGAATACAACATTTTCAACCTATCTTATTTGATCGCAGTAATAAATTTATCATCTAAATTACTTTCAATCTTATTTTTCATGAATAAAGATTATTATATTTTCACATAAAAAGTTACATAATGGACTCACAAAATTCCTCTTTATCACTTTCTACCTTCAAATTGATATTTTTACTAATTGATATTTTTACTAAAGTTTTACCATTCACTAATTTTAATGATCTTTATTTCAAGTTGGGCATAGTAAACATATATTCCAACTTGTGAGAGGGACTCTTAATCTTTTTTCTTTCCCTTCTCAGTCCATGATCATCTTTGTCAATACTCAACTTCTCTTTTATTTTATTAGCTCAATCAAAAATCTCTCACTGGATCCTGGTCAACTCAATCTTTCCATCTTATCGATTGAAATTCGGTACCACCTTAACTGATGTTGCAGGTCTTATTTTCTTGATTAAAGATTTAATTTTTCATATATATATATATATATATATATATATATATATATATATATATATATTTATAGTTGTTTTTTCTCATTAGTAACAGGTGCCATGACGAATAATTGTTTAATTAGTTTTTAGTTTTTTATAATTTTAAATAGAATATTAGATTAATTATATATATATATATTATATCTATTTACTGAAAACTTTTTAATAATATAAATAAGTATTATAAAATTAATTATAATTATCAGAATTTTTAATCACATAACGAAATTAAGCAATATTCAATTAAGAGTTTTTTTTTTTTTATAAAATTTTTATTGATAGTTAAAAGTATCATAAATATCATAATATTATTTAATGTTTACAATTTGATTAAATAACTAAAATTATTTAATTTAATATAAAATTTAGAACCTGTATTGTATTATGATAAAAAATGTTTATTATATACACAATTAATCGATTATATTCACGATATATTACATTAAATAATAAATAAATATTTTTTCATTTATTTTCGCTTTTTTAATCTAAATAATTTGTATATTCACTTACTTTTTTAATTGTTGTTTCACCTTCTCGCTTTCTATAGTTTAATTTAGTCTAAACCAAGCTAAGGGAGAGGGCTGTAATTTTCATCTCATCAATTGAAAATGCATTTATTTTGATAGAGAAAGAGAATTGACTAGGAATTTTGACTCCCTTATCTTCTTGTAATAGTTATAGGCTAGGTTTGATTTTGTTAATTATTATTATTATCTTAAAGATAATGATTAAGGAATCAAGTTGACATCTATAAAAAATATCAAGCGGACAAAATTGTTGTTAAACATTGTAACATTTTATAACAAAACAAATAATTGATATATATAAGATTAAAAAAATAGTAATAAATGTAAGATTAAGTTAACGTTGTTTAGTTATGCGAACAATAACAATATATTTATTATAAATATTTTTTTTTATGTTTAACCAATAAAAAATCATGACAAGTGTGATTTATAAAAGTCAAGTTACCGTTGAAAATAATTTGTCGGTTTAAAATATAAAACTATTTACAGTATATGGACATTTAGTAACTGCAATCCACAATTTCAATGCACCACAATTAACAAGAACAATAGCATTTGACTCTGCAGCAAACATGGCAAAACCACTGACTAAAGAAACTCTATAAGAACAAAAATTACTGTCTCCGTATTTTTTCACGATAGAAAACACTTCTCAAAATGAAACCAACTACAGAAACAAAACTTATTATTCCTATATACAGTTACAAGATTTGGCTAACTCCTAAAGGGTGCAACAGCATTCATTTGTAAGAATCAAACTTTGTTTATGTGGATCTACACTTAAGGTAGCAGCATGAAACAACAGAAAATGTGACATAAAAGATGACAACTAGATCACTATCAGATTTCTTTCTTTTGCTCAAAGCGTGAGAGACCTCACCTCATCTTTTTTCCAAAGCCCTTCCTCGTACTTGTACCACCTAACCAGTCCCTCATCAGTTCTAGTTCGTTGGCACATAACGCAGTTGTCATCCATGCATGTGAGAAATTCGCGCAACCGAGAAGCCTTCTGACGAATACTCACATCAATTTCCTTAACAATTTTTTTATGTTGAGGAGCTGGAAGGACCTCCATCAGAATGCAATGTGATATGTTGAGCACTTCTAAGTTTTGTAAGCTGTCAAGGATGAGAATGAGAACATCTGTATAAAGAATTGAGCAACGAAGGCTCAAGACTCTTAGGTTTGGAAGAAACGCAGCCAGAGATGAGGCAAAGAAAATATCACATGGCCCCATAATCTTGAGTTCACTAAAGTTCTTGCAGTTGGTTGAGATTTCCTCCAAAATATATGGAGGATTTGCTATACTAGGCATTGTCAGGGACTCTAACTCTTCCCAGCAGCGGATGGCCTTGCACATTCCTGTTTTCTTGATTCTGTTCCAAGCTGGCAGAACAAGTCGTTTGAGTCGTGGGCACCTGACAAAGGGACATGATTAGCTCTTAGGAGATACTACATATGCATTCTCCAATTTTAAGGTATGTTAATAATCAACAGCGGGTGCCCCCTTCGCTTCCACCAAATATTGACATACAGATACACTAATCTACTAATTTTCAAATGTTTTCCAGCATTCAGGGTAAAAATCCTCACAAAAGCAACTCCTAATAAAGTTACTGCCCCAATATCAAGCAATATTAGGCCGTAAGCACCAAAGAGAAAGTTGATCCATCAACAAAACATATTCCACAAGGTTATGAATATCACTGATTAACCTCCTGTGTGTATTCATTTCATATATGGTTTATGCTAACTTTATACGTTTAATACAAGATATAATGATTTTGAAAAGCTGAAGTTACCTTTCAGCAGTGTATGTCAACTGCTCATCACTTGCGTACAAGTTGAAATGGAAGATCAGAGTCATTATACTCTGTCGGCTGAGACTGAGAGAGATTTTCAATATTCGCGTTAAAGTCCTATCAGATCGTTCATCGACATAAACGTATGGCTCTAATGGGATCTTGATGAAATTAGATCTTAACATTGACAAATCTAGTGTTTTCCAAAGAAGTGGATCACAGCATGCCATGCGCCATGCACTGCAAACACGAGAGATGCCAGATGTCAACTCAAAAATGTCAAGCAACTGAAAAATCTTCACCAGAATATCTATGTCCAGATCCTCCCATCTCCTTATGTTAGGGTCTTTGTCTTCCATTATGCCAGTTTTTCAAATTCCTTACTGAATTTCGGTGTGAAGTAACACCTACAGAAACCAAATTAAAAACCAATAATAAGATTAAACAATTAGAGTGAAAAAATAATAGCAGCATAAGAAAAGAAGAATAAAAATTCTGAAATACAAAGGATAACAACAAATACAAGCAAGCCTTTAAATCCCCAATAGTAGCTATGTAACGACCAACCCTGAAAACATTAGCAGGATACCCGCTGTTCTAAAACTTTCTACATAGTTTATATAGTGTAAACTATATATGCATATAAATTCTAAAAAATGATAAAAATTACTCAAAATTCATGGTTATTCATACTTTACCATTAAAAGTCATAGGTGTCTTGAACAAAACATACATTTTGTTCTAGCAAAAAACCTAAAATTGTTACTATACTTCCAACCAGAGCATTCAATGTTAGCTTATCTCCCTTTGGGTAGGTAGTTAATCTCAGCCCCTTTTCTAGTAGTGAGCCTTGTGTATCAAGAAACATGTGATTGTGGGACTTGAATTCCAAGTTACCCATCTGAGCTTCCATAATCCTGGAGTCTCTTGGGGTTAGTTAAGGTTTGTGTAAATACCGGCTTGGAGGAATTTGCATGACACTCTAGCTATTGTCTTCGGCTCTCAACTGAGGTCCAAAGCTCCTGCAATTGCCAAGCCCTATGAGGCATTGATCTAGAGCCTATGTATCAAAGAGATATGTAATGGTACACATAAATACCAATAAAAGTCAAATACAAATTTCCTAGATACTAGATAGGAAATAGGAATCATAAATCACAATCTTCTAAATCCAAATTTTCTTTTTAATCATTTTCACAACTGTGGCAACAATAGATTTCTTTCTCTTCCTCCTCTTGTAGCATTGCTCGACAAGAGGGGAATGCCACAAGAAAAGTGGGTAGCAAGAAAGATGAAAGGATTTATAGGAGTTTGGTCTCGTAACTACTTTAGAAGAGTTTTTTATTGAAATATATACAGAAAGGAGAATGAAGTTCCAAAAATACTCCTCCAAGAAAGTCCTACGGGTAATGTTTCAGAGGGAATTTAAAAAAAAAACAGAATAGTTCCACTATCAGGACTCTATTTGAGTCGCTAGGCCTGCTACAGATGCAACTAGGGTTGGAAAGGCATAATCAAGCTAAGCCTAGCTCGATTTGATTAAAACATTGACTCAGTTCGAAGTTCGCCTCAAATTTGATAAGAACACTTCTTCAGTTTGAAGTTTGAAGATTTGTTAAGGAAGACAACTTTTCTTGTTATTCAACAAATTAATGAGAGTGGTAACATTCCAAGTAATCCTATTTTCTTGGGTATGGCTGGAACTTTCTCATCTTCATTGGAATCTTGAATTTCTTACACCCTCTATAGGAGTATTTTATTGAGATTTGAGAAACGGCTACAAAAATCCTTAGAATGCTAGTTTCCTGAAAACATTTTAAAATAAATCATACAAAGCAAACAAATTTAACATTACCAACTTAAGATTTCTATGAACCTAAAAGAATACCCCTACCAAACACCCCAGTGCCAACACAGTGTTAGTAATTATCTTAGCAGTACTAACTATCATCATAAGTTCTGATTAATGTGCAGGGCGTATATCTTTTACCTTCACCCCACACAAAATATTTCAGAGAGAAAAGTTCACACTCATCATCAAGAACCATCATGGCTACAACCTTACCCAATGGTTATCGAATTCAATCATTGTGGCCTGAACTTACAATTTAGGAATAAATTGGAATACAAAATCACCAACAAAGCATCTGCAGAAAGCAATTAACAATTCCCATAACCTCTTTACTAAAACATCATAAACTCCAGTCCATGATTCTCATAAACATTAGATAAAAATCCTTAATTCATACAGATTTCCTAATAGACAATATCGTTGCAATCATGTTTAGTATTCATTTACATGTCAGGATCACATGGGTCGGTCGGTAACATAAGCAGAAAAAAGAAAATAAAGAAAAGAGATGAGAACAGAAAAGACGAACAAACCCAACAGAAAACAAAGAAACAGCAAGTGGAGTTGATTATGCGTCCAAAACCACATTCACTAAAAAAATCATTGAAAATGAAGATTGTATGTGAAATGAATGGGGAAATGAACAATTAATCAGACAAAATACTTGTGTTTTACTCAGCCACTTATGCCAACACAAAATTTTCCATGACAAAACAAATACTCATATTTCACAAAGCATCAACAAAAAGAATTTGTAATTGGTAACTCTCTCAGACCGGATCTTGAAAGCACCAAGTCCGAAACAAAAGCAAGTGCGGGACCAATCAGCACAACAATCATGAATTCTTGATCAAACAAATTCCAGAAACCCAGAAATGACAAGGCACAGAAAACAACTCTTGGAAATTAAAAAATTATGGGTCAATCGTTTAAGGTGAAGATCTAATCCCCCGCTTCCCAAATTTTCAACTTGTTTACAGACACAAACATGGGTATGTGCTTTGAGTTTTTTTTTTTTTTTTTTTTTTTTATGTGTAGAGTGAGAAGGATAAGAAGAGAGAGAGAGAGGAGACAGACCTTCAGACAACAGAAGCAGATTGCGGAGTGGATGAGGATGTTGGTGTTTGTGTTGTTGTGAGTAGCTGAGTTGTAGATGAACAAGTGCTGAGATTTTGAGGTGTTGGTTCTTGCTCTGCTTCTTTTCCGTTTTATTATATATATATATATATATATATATATATATATATATATATATATATATATATATATATATATATATATATATAAATGTCATGAAACATGTAAATTGTGAAGACAAAGGTGGATGTAGATGCGGATTCCAAGGGACAGTTCAGAAATTACGAAAAAAGCCTTGTCTTAGGTCATGAAATGTGATTTCCAAAAAAACAAAATAAAACTTTTCTATTGGAAAAAAGTCAAATGCAGACAATTAGATCTTTTCTAACATTATTATTATTCCGCTATTAGAATTAGAGTTTCAAAATTATTGAAATATATTGAAAATCAATTTCATGATAATTCATTGAATTTTAAAATGTTTTTCTTAACAATTAAAACAAAATGATTTCTGAATAATTTAATGTGTAAAATATTTTACATTAATAATGCATGTTTTTTTTTAAATAATGAAGATATCAGTACGAATTATTCATTATTAAAAATAGCCATATAATGTTGAGACAAAAAAATTCTTAATATAATTTTTGTTTTATCCAAATTAACACCATAAATATTTATTCCTAGAGTATTAGGTTAATGGGTATAAAGAACCAACTGTGTATATAAAATAAGTTTAATTTTGTATATTATTGATGCATTTTTTTCTTTTTACATCATTAATCAATAAATTATTGTGAAAGTTAATATATTACCATCACAATAATACATGTTTTTTTAGGTAGTTAATAAATTTGCTTACTCAAGGTTTTAAAATATGATAATCAAAATATTAAGATGAAACAATTATATATTAATCGATAAATGCGTGCGAAGATAATAAGATGTGATTGATGATGACTATATTAATTAATGAATGTAGTTTGATTAATTTCCTTAAATTTAGATAAAATATAAAAAATAAATGCGCGTTGGGTAAGGCTTAAGAGAAAATTGGTCTCTTTGAAGCTACGAACAGAAAGTATAATCTTATAAATGGGTTACGCAACAACCAATCAATCCATCTCAACGGAAAACTACAAATTATAATATTAATAGTAGCTTAGACAAATATACTCGTTACAATTAATAATTCCATTATTTTTTTAATAGTTATTGAATAATTTTTAATTGTCAATTAATGCTAATCCATTATTTCAATTGAATTCAACCTGTAACTGATACATATAACTTCAATATTTTGATAAAATTTTACTCTTTCCATATTAGCGTTATCATATCTTTTCACCTCCCCACTAAAAAAATAAATAAAAATTTACGTTGTCATTTTGTGTTCAAACATAACTGATTGAAACCAATTTTTTTTTTTATCTTTCAAATTCGTTTTATAAACAATATATATTTAAAAAATACTGGTTTATTATTAATATCAGTTTTTCTTTTTTTTTCGTAATTTTTTTTAATTACTCAAATAAAAGAATTGTTTACTAAAATAGACACCAATCATATACTCTCCTCGTTCACTTTTTTGTTTTTGTATCTTTCTATTTTATGATTTTTATTTTTATTCTTTTCTAATTCACAGTATTCTGTTTTTCTTTCTTTTATCTCAGGTCTTTTGTTTTTCCTTTTTTTCGTCTCATTGTCTTTTGTTTTTTCTATCGTCTTCCCCGCTATTCTTCTAACTAAAACTATTATATTAAAATTTAATAAAAATATATTAAAATATTTTTTCAAATAAAAAACTAAAAAAATAATTATTTAAAATTCTAATGACAATAAATAATTTTATTTACGTTAACATAAATAATTAATTTAAAATTATTTTATCATAATAAATCAATTATTTATTTAATTAAAAAATATTCAATATTTATGAATTAAATATATTTTTATTTAGTAATTTAATCTAATTATAATTAAGTTAAGTAATAATAATTAGTCAGATTAGATAATTTTAAAAAATATATTAAAAAGTTATTTTAAAACAAATATTTAATTTGTTCCTAATAATTATAAGATAATAACATTGTAATACCTCAAATTTATTATATAATATTTTTTTAAAATATAATATATTAAATTAGAATATTTTTAGATAATTTAAATATTTTTATTTTTTCATAAATAATAAAAGACTCATTTTATCAAATTTCATTATATATTTTTAATTAGAATGGAGTGAGAGAAGAAAAACAAAAAAGGAAAGAGAAAAAATAAAACAAACACTAGAGATAAAAAAGAAGTAAATGGAAAAAAGAAAAAAATTATATTATACATAAATAATAAGTAAATTTATATATATTCTATTTAAATTTTTTTAAAATATATTATTGATGAGATTGATTCTTATCCTTTTATTATATAACCTATTTTATTTCATTTTCTCTATCATTGTTATATATAATATTTTATATGTAAAATAAAATTATAAAAATACTCATCTCACTCATGACATTAGTAGGAAAATTAGTGATGAAATCAGGAGCAAAGTTCAAGATTTCTTGATTATTAGTGTCCTTTAAATTAGAGGTTTTGTTTATTTTTCTAGTAAAAAAAAGTTATATTCTGCCCGTGACTCTTTAGATCGGAACAGACAAATTGTAACCAAGCTTTACGTTTGATGTCATGGGTAAGGAATTTATGTAACGAGTTTATAATTAAATAATTAAATAAATAAAGATTAAATTTAATTTTGAAAGTATCGGCGTTGCCATGCATGCCATCCAATATTTAGCTTGCATTTTATGAAAAATCACACAATTCCATTCACATTGGAGTTTCTAATAAGAAATAACTATGCGTCATTTTCAAACAATATATTAGAAAAATGTAAACCTCAATCCGCTTAATAAAGACCTTCGTCTGCGAAATAATCCATTATCGATAATTAGTTTGTTTATTTAAACGCAAGCTGGTTCACCTGTAAATTATGTGTTAGCCAAACTGTATGTAAAGCGAAACATATCCTTTTATTCAACTTAATTGTGGAAATGAAGTGAGTACAGTACAAGTGAAACATTTGTATGATTTAAGATCCAAAATGTCTTTCTTCAGAGGCAAAAATAATTTGCATTTCAGTGTTAAGGAATAGTTAATAGATGTGTTGATAAATTTCATCTCAAGTCTTGGTTAGGGTCAATACATGCATGGATTCCTCACTCTTTCCAATTTGAGAGAGGTCAGGTCCACCTGCTAAACTTATTAATTATACTGATTGACATACAAATCTACCAGAACCTGTGAAGACTTGAATGGATAGTTGTTGATGAAGATTTTGATAGAATCACAAACTTCCCATGCATGCACGGTGACTAAAGTTGGTTTGATGAGATTGAACAAAATCTTTCCATCAGAACGTGTGATACACACCGTCCCTATTTCACTTTTAGAATGGATGGTGATCGACCAACATACTAGTTGATGAAGATTTTGAAGTTATATATTTTGTACAATAACATTCTACTACGTCTCTCTCGCTCTCTCTCTCTCTCTCTCACACACACACACAACACACATTAGTAATGTTACCACACATTTCCCCCCTCCTCTTATTTGTGGCTTTTTTTGTTCTAACTATGTCACATTTTAAGACCCCTAATTCTTCTTTTCTGACTTGGGTGTAAGTGTACTTTTGATACATCAAACATTTCTCTCTCTGGCACTTGTTTGTTCTAATTACTTGTTACATTTCCCACAATTTATCACACGTTATTCTTCTAATCCAATTTGTTCGAGCCGCGTAAAAGTTATCAAAAACTATTTTATTATACTAAGTGAGAAATTAAAACTTTAACCGTTAAATTCAAATCAAGGACCCAAACATATTTAATTATAAATCACATGACCTTTAAAATTTCTACAAAAATCCCATTTCCTTTAATTAATTAAATAGGAATAAAATTGCATGCAACTTAACAGTAAGCAGAAAATGCTAATTTAATCTAAAAATCGTAGTTAAATGTTTTAATCTGTTATAATAACTAAAAATTATTGCCTGATGATACAACTTATAAGTTATACAGACAAATTACATTTACTTAATTTTGCAAACTACTGCAAAAGGGAGCTAAAAGAGGCTTATATGACTATTTGCACTTAACTCAGTTCAGAATCTGGATTGAAGAATCTTTTGTTTGAGCTACTGTTGGTCTTTCCACCAATTAATTTTTGGGGCAATAGACACATTACCAACTAATATTTCTATTAGCCCAAAACTGACCAGTTCAATTCTAGGAAATTTCTACAAAGCAACCTCAAGAAACACTGCTAGGGGCACTGAGGACGACCATATGCCGCACCGAAAGACCAAGGGAGCCTAACTATTTTATACGAGAATAGCACAAACATATTTACATGACGGTAAATAAACTGAAATTACAAAATATAAACGAGGAAGGAGGAAGGTAAAGAAGCAAAAATTGGAAGGTTAATATAAACGAATATACAAAAAATTTATGCAAAATATTATCAACATTCTACAACACTAAGGAGACCCGACACCTGCGTCTGCATGTACTGCATTGATCTGTTAATGCACAACCAAAATTGATTATAGTAGTGATGAAATTTTTTAAGTAACTCCTATTAACCACAAACAAATCAGTTAGTCAGAAATCCCTCCAAACATAATTACCAAGGTTTCTTTGTCACACCCTCTTGTAGCTAGTTACAACTATTCTGATGGTAAATATATTACACATATAATATCTAGCAAGAGAAAATTGAGTCAAAGGTCTAGAACTAAATATTCTTGTCACAATGCAAATCCTCCTTTTGTTAGAGGGGACACTACTGACATGTCAGTGACGCTAAAAGGAGCTAATAAGCAGTAATGAGATAAAAATTAGTAAGCAATATCCATTAATGTTTAATAAAATGGAAAAAAAAAAAAAAAAAAAAAGGTACCTCAACCACCGATTAATTTCTTAGCAATGCTTCTAGCATGTTCCAACAGCTGAAAGCTTTTCGCACAGTCATCATCTTGTATTGCAGCTTTTAAGTTTAAATAGAAATCTTTGTAAGCTATACCAAACTCTTGGAGTGGACGATCATGTGGTTGAGCCATAAGCTGTTGTTGCTCTTGAACAATCCCCAGCGTACCCAATAGTAGCTTCTTTCTCGATCTACTATGTATTCTACTATTTACTAGTGCTTCTAATTTGGAAGCCATGACAATGGCTCGACTGATGCAATGTGAAGGCAACTGAAAACAAATGATGTTTCCAACTGTCTTAAATAAAATTAAATAAGAAATTTCAACAATTTAGTCAACGGAGACCTCAACGGTCAAACTCAAAGTTAAGGGAATTCCCAAATTTTATATTAACTTAAACAATATCAACCAATTGCTCAAGCATCAAGGCACTGGTAATATATAATTTCGTGAATTTATTACCTGTGCAAGCTGGGCAACTTTAAATCCAAAACTCCTGTCTGAAACACCAGGTACGAGCTTGTACAGATAAGTGACATCATTATACAAGTTGGCATTTTTACTTGCATCGTGTGAAGTCAGATGTGACATGTGGTATGCTGCCACAGAGCCAGGAAATTCAGTTGCCAGGCTGGCAATCTTTGGATAGTGAGTGACAAAGAGAACCATGCTTCTTTTTTGCTTCAGAAGATAATGCAACGTCGAATGAGCAAGGGCCATACCATCATGTGTACTTGTACCTCTCCCAAGCTCATCAATAATAACCAGTGAATGTTCTGTACAACAATGGAGTATATGTGAAGTCTCACTTAGTTCTTCTAGGAAGGTGCTTCTCCCTTGTTGAATACTGTCAGAAGCACCCATTCGGGTATAGATCCTATCCAGGACATGCAGTTTTGCTGATGATGCTGGTACAAAGGAACCAACCTAGAGAGATCAGAGATGTTTCAATAAAGCAACAACCGGAAATAATTTTTAGTGGGAGAAATAGTTCAACAACTTAAGCTGAAAAAATAGTAATTCAAGACATGATATGTCAGAATCTTTCACAGAATAGATAATTAGCTTTCAATATTTACAAAACAAAGCGTATGCGCTACTGCACAACCTCAGCATCTTGTTGCATTAAAGGCAGAAAATCAAAGCAGAAATATGGCAGACACTGCATTGAGTCTACCTGAGCCATTATAACAATCAGAGCCACCTGGCGAACATAGCAACTTTTTCCACCCATATTGGGTCCAGTTACAATCTGACAGTACTCTCCATCTGCATGCAAGTTTGTATCATTTGGGACAAAATTATCTTGTAAGGTGGTCTCCAAAACCTGGTGAGAAATGACGTACAATAATGAGCATCTGTTTACCAATCAACAATGAGGAACTTGAATTAACTGAGTCGAAGTCAAAAGTATTGCACAACCCCAGTAATTTTGAGGGTGGAATATTCAGTTTCTACAACACCAGATGAAGTTGCAACTGTCAAACAATTCTTTTGGTGCGAAAGGCAGTGTCTTAGCCATCCAATAAACGATTTGAAGGTAATAAAGGCACATGATGGCTTATACTAAATACACAAACAATTGAAACTACAGATATTACAGGCAGGTATTTGAAACTTAAAAGGGATTCAAGAAAACATTCATGTTAATTTGGCACAAAAGTACAACCAGGAAATGCCCTGTCCCACTAGATGTGGAATTTCATACAAAAGTTCAAGCCATTACCGGATGTCTACCAGAACAAATTTGTATCTGAACAGGCTCTTGATCATCTACAAACACAGGGCGAACAAAACCCTATCACAGAAAATAGATGTTACCAAATGCCAGAAACATTTGAAGGAACTTAAAAATTCCTTTAAGAATAAACCTTATTTCGTGAAAGAGTGGCAAGTGAATGCAGACAATCTAAAGCAGCCAGTGCTTGAACAGCAGCTTGAAACTCAGCATAGTGTTTACTGAAGTCCCTAAGAAAGCTATTCCAGGCAGCTCGGCAGGCAACAGTGAGCTCCTCTCTTGCTAACGAAAACTTGTCCAATGCTGTCACTACTTCAGGAGGGTGATACCGAATTGTTTTCTTTGTGCTATTTACCTTGACCCAGTTTGAAGGAACCTTAACATCAGTTGATAACTGCAGCCAAAAATTAAATAAATGCCAATTAAAACTTGTTCACAGCCACACATTAACTCAATGGAAACATACCATAGTTTGAACACAGTTGTTAAATTAGAATTTAACTAATACACAAGAAATGCAAACTTATAAACGTTTATTTTAAGTTCAAGGAAATAAAGGAAAATAAAATAGAGACAATCTGTAACATCAACTTGAAAGTGGAACCAGTGTCATTTTCCAGCCATCCTTAGCAGTATTTGACGAAGTTTTGGGGCTTTATTTCTCATTCAAAGTAGAACTTCCCCCAATTAGCTTCTACAGAAGCTCTATTTTTTGATCTTCAGCATATTTTAAAGAAAGCATTTATTTTTAGGAGCTATTGTAAATATGTTTGGTTTGTCCTGGTTTAAGGAGAAGAGAAGCCAAAAAAGGGTGTCATTATCTTATACCCTTTTTTTGGAAGTTAAAAACACTCCTGTCTGTTTAACAATTTAAGAATTAAGACACATTTGGAGCACACGTCACTACATAGTAATAAGAAAACATTTCAGATCAATTACAAAAATCAGATGTGAATAAGAAACAATCAGAAATGAGAAATTAACAAGAACTGGGATACATAATTTCCAGCATCTACAATGTTTAAATATAAAGGATCTTCCTTCTAGTTAGACTACCTCAATCAAATGAGTTGTTCCAGAAATACTGATAAATTCCAAATTTTGCATTCTAAGCCGTTTGCGATACAAGTCAATCAGCGAATCTAATTGTTCCACTGCCAGCTTGAAATTTTTACGAGCTCTAATGACCTTCATACATGGTTATAGAATCAATATCAATCAAGATAAAAGTATAATTAAGGAAAATGTAAAAAAAAAAAAAAAAAAATCACACAAAAGGCACGGACAAACCTCTGGAAATTGTCCATCTGATGCAATGATCAATTTTGTTAGATCTCCTTGATCAGCAGAGTCTATGTTTAAAGATGACAGCAATCTTGCAGCATTGGCAATAGTACTGTCACAGGAAGCAGTCAAAACTAACTTTTTTAACAGATTAGAGCGCAATGTGTTATTATTCCCCTCTCCTATTTTAAGTTGTTGTAGCTGTTTTCCAGCAGAGTAAATAGCTTGAATTACTGCAACAAACTGTATAATGACAAAATGATTCAAGTAATCAATGCCTAGCATCTTTCTTGTTAATTAATATGCTGCAGAATAAATTTGACCCATCAATATGATAAAAGAAGGACCCAAATGACTATAGTTATTCAGTAAAAGTAATACAAACATTTACAACCATTTCCTTTGCACTGCAAAACACAATAGTTCATCTTCACAAAATAATGATAATAATAATAATTTGCGTTACAGTTTCTCATTTTCTTAAACCTGAAAAAGTCACATTTAAAAAACAGTCTCAATTTTTTTCAAGGAACATGAAAATATCACTTCATTGACTATGAGTTGATACACACTTTAAATACTCAAGTTCAAAAGGCAGAAGCTAGTGTTTGCAAAAAAAATTGGTATACTCGTGTATTCCTTATTTTTGGTATAGATTAAAGAAATACGCATATATTAGGTCCAGGCCTAGTCTAAGCCACCGTCTTGTTACAGTTGGAAACACACTTGTAGTCTTGTACAAACTCACATGGTTTTCAAAACACACCTTACCTTCAAAGCATGCATTGTAGAACCTCTAACAGATGCATAGCATGTATGTTGTTCTTAAATTGAAAATGGAACAAAGAAACATCCGAACATTTAAATTTTGTCATTAAGTAATTAACAAAATATATGCTCAACTCTCTTTCCATCTCCCTATTTCATATAAAGTCTAGAAATTACAAGGAATACGAGGACAATTAATTGAAGTACAGCATATAGAGAAATACACAAACAGGCCAACGAGAAGCCATTTATCACCTCAGATGGGGTAGCAGTGCAATGGAAAATTCTTGTAATTCCACGTTGTATATCAGGTGCACGGCCAAGACTTGTCAAAACCAATGAAAGTATGTGTGCTAACTCAGGTTGCACGATTGCTATATCAAGATCTTCTTCAACATGACCAGCATTCTTTGTACCATTACAAGATCCCATGGACTCTGCAATTTCGGACACAGCATGAAGTCGAGCAGAAATTAAGGTTCGATCACATAATGGGTGAGATACCTGTATCATGCACAAAACAACATTAAAGATGACTCTTCTTTGGATGATAAAGAAATGACAATTGAGAATTCAACATTCACTGTCTGTATGAGGAATGGAAGCACCTCATACCCAATGCCTAAGAAGTCTGGAACCATATATAGTTAGAGTGTGATTCATAATTTGCAGCAAGGAACCAATCTCCGATCCATCACTGTTATTTTTTAAAACCTGAACATTCAGCAAGCATTCATTGGCATCAAGAACAGAAGGGAATATTAAGCTGGTATGAGGGAAAAAAACAAAAAAAAAAACTTCTAGCTTGTAAAGTAGCACAAGTACAAAAATTTCAAAGTAGAAATCATCCATCATCTTTTCAACCATTGTAAGATAATACAGGTAATTCATGTCGTGGACCAGAAGCAAGTGGGCAGCAAAAAGCCAGGACATTTGATCGATATACCTTTATATGAATCTACCATAAGTAAAACATAAACCAAAGAAAGAAAGACCAGTTCAAGTTTTAGTTTGGTCAGATGTTATAAATAGTGCCAGTTTATCCATGAACCACAGCACTATAGCAGTACGAAAAGGAAATGGTAGTTGAAGACTATGTTTAAAATACTTAAGTTTAACGTATACATATCCACTGCTTGTAATTGCCATACTTTGAACACGTAGAAAAAAAAAATTTAAAACATTCTCAAATATGCTCCAGTCCTTGCTAAATATTCTCAAAAATGTACAATTTATAATTACCTCCAGTTGTTGAAGTGTATTAGCTGAGAGGGTCATTTCCATATTGTTTGAGAAAGGCCTTAACGAAGCTCCTGAACACAAAATTCTTTCAAAACCAAATTCCTTTAAATGACGAATAGTTAAGGCCAAAGCTTGGACAGACAAATCTGGCATGTTCATCACCTCCTTTATAATAAAAAAGGTAGAACCAACACAGAGCTAGTTATAAGTTGAAATTGCAACAACAATTAACATAAAGCTACAATTTGTAAAGTAAAATTAAATTTAAATGATCAGAGGAATAGAAAGTTAAACACATAAGAGTTAACAGAAAAAATAAGTATATGAAATTTTGCAACTTTTCATCACAAACACTGATAACAAATTACAATGACAGGGTCAATAATCACAAGATAGATGTTGGCTAAGAGAAAAATGCATAATAAAACTAGCATGAAATTTTGATTTTAGGAATTTCCCTACTGCATGAATAATTTTTTTATAAAATATTTGATACCTTGATTACTAACTGCTGACTTCTGTGCTCAGTCAAATCATTGCTTTCAATTGAATCTGATAGACTATCCAAATGCATGTTCTCAAACAAGGTCATAACTTCAGATAGAGCACCCCCATCAGTGAAGCAATCTCGTGAAACACGCTCCACACGAACATTTGAGGAAGGTCCAGCAAAATCCAGCAATAACTAATAACAGATCACCAAATCAGAAAATTTGGTCCAAAGGGTAGCAGAGTTTTGTGGACTCTTACAGTAATTCATTTAGTGATTATAACTTATAAGAACATGTCTCCCAGTAGGACAACATCAGCTTAATATTTTTGTTCTAAAAATATTAGGAACAGTAACTACATTATAGTTTCGGAGATAATTCCAAGTTTTAAATCATTTTAACAAACTTCAAATTGTTAAAATAACATTCTGTTTGTAAGAAGAGAAGATTTCTCAGAAGTAAGAATAGAAGAACATGAAGATAATTAGAAAATCGATTCAAAAAGTAAAATAGAAGAAAATTGTGGAAAAAGAAATGATAATGTTGACCCTACAATGATTTTGGCCATCAATTCAGTCCTTTAACGCTTAGAATAAAGTAGGTATCGATTTTCAGCCTCAATTTCATCCCTAAATTGGCGATTCATTTAACAGTATGATGGACCGACATTGATGTTCAAAATCCTTTGGAGACAAACTTAACATCCCATTTATATTAATTCTTAGGAAGACCAATTTGAGTGTTAACTCAACTATGGAGTATGGGCTAAATCACTCCTACCTACTATAATGGAAACACTATTACATTAAATTGTTTTGATAAGTTGTTCAATCAAATCACCCAATACCGGAAACTTCAATTCTCCATTCAGATATTTAAAAATCCATGTGCTGTATTTAAATGAGAAACAAAATTAACTTTCAAAGGAATTCGCATTTTATAATTATCTTACATGTCAGACGTTGAAATATAATTGACAATGATTGATAATTCAAAATATTCTCGATACTTCATAAAATTATAACGAACACCATTGCCAAAGAACATTTTGTTCATTCCACCAATCTCCATGCATTAAATATTGTATTAAAAAGGGTTATCCAAATGGAGTCAGGCCAAGAGAGAAGCTACCTTGAAACCTGAACTTACTCAACCCTACACCATCCATGTATCATCCAACGCATTATCAAGCACCATCATTCCATCAAGAAAAACCATGACAAGTAAAGAGCAGCACGCAACTACACACATAGGTTTCATTGCACAACACGATGAAACAAATCAAGCAACAACAAAATTCTTAAAACACAACCAAAACAAGAGCGAAGCTGTCGCATTATTCCTTTAAAACTACCTTCTCTGTTTGCTTTGAAAGAGGGTCCCCAAGAAGCAACTCAGCCGGAGACAAGTTCACAATAACAGCCTCAAGCGCACTCCTCAGAAAACCATCACAAAACTCCCCATAAACAACATCCCCAGTCGAAATCTCCACCGCTACAATCCCAATCTTCACATCAACACCACCCTCCACCCCAGAATTCCCCTTCTCCCCCACAACACTCTTCTCCACCACACACAGCAAGTAATTACTCTCTCCACCACATCCGTCCTCCCCTCCTCCAATCTCCGGCGCCGCCTCAAGCGTGGCCTTGGTGTAGAGCGCCGACAGCCCGCGCCCGAAAGGCGCGGAGCGGTTGGACCCGTGGGCCTTGATGGCGGCGGTCTCGGTTTGCCGGACCACACCGACCTTATACCCAGCACTGACGAGCCTCCTGACGTGAACATTCAGTCGAAAAGTTGGTATGCTAGCACTTAAGAAATTATGATCCATATGCGCGTAAATGCCCAAGAGTCTGGCGGCGTGTTCGGCGTCTTGGCCGAAGAAACGGTACCTGTAACCGACCTCAACCATGAGGAGAACATCGGGGTGTTTGGCTTTGAGGTGGAGGACCTGTTGTTCGAGAGGAGTGTAGGTTATGGGTTTGGAAGAGGAAGGGAGAGGAGGGTGCTGAGGGGAGGAAGGTTCGAGAAACTTGTGAAGGAAGCGCTGGTGGAGTGAAGGGGGAGAAGGTTCGAGAATCTTCTGGTGCTTGCGAGGGGGTGTGAGGTGGGACGTAAGGCAGCGTTTGGAAGGGGAGAAAGTGACGGTGGCAGAGATTTTGGGAGTGGAAGTGGAAGTGTGAGTGGATGTGGGAGGGTTGGGACGGGGAGAAGAAGGAGGAGAACTAGATTTGGGTTTGGGAGCGAAGAACCGGGAGATTACTTGTTGCTTTTGCTTTCCCATGGCGACGGTGGATTTGGCGCGCTTCCAGATTTTAGGAGAGCTTCTTCCTGTCTTTCGTCACTTCGCTTTCGCTGTCACTGGCTCGGTGATACCCCTAATTTTTTTTTGCCGAGTAAAAAATCAAAACAGTAGTTTTTTTTATTATTATTATTATTATTATTATTAGCCATATATCTAACAATGCCTTGTTTCTTATTCTTTCGTTTAGGAAAGAGGAGTATGTATATTTATTTTATCTCAGATTTATTATCCTTTAACAAATTTATTTTCTGATGATTTTGTTAAAAAAAAAAGAATATATATATATATATAAATTATTAATGTGTGGACATGTAAGCGTATTAGAATTCTTATAGTTGGTGATTCATAAAGGTATTATTTTTATGGATTTTTTTAAACATTAATCACATTAAAATATTCTTTTAAAATGCAATCAACAAATTATTATGGAGGCAATATTCAACCAAAAAAATCACATTCTTACGTTCATCATCAAGACGCCAACGAACTCTTGTAAGATTAATGAAATAATCAGAAGTTAAAGGAAGTGAAAAATGGAAAATGAAAAAAAAAATCAACACTAAGTAATAGTATATAAATTGTTATTTTCATCAAATTAATAAAGGCAAAAGGAAGTAAAAAATATATTTGATGAAAATACCTTCAAAGATTGACCAGAAATTGTATACGAAACATACAATGCAAATCCAATATTTTTGTAACTCTATTATGAATGAATATTTAGGACAATAAGAAAAAAATTATGTGTATGTCTGTCCTCATCTGTAAAAAGAAAATGAAAGACATGGCACTATTTGAAAGAAGACAATTATTTTTATTATTATTTAAATATATGAATAAAATATTAATTGTTAGAAATTAGAAGAATTATGAATGACATGTTGCATAAAAAAATTAGTAATTATAATCATGAATAAAAGAGGTAAAAAAAATAATAGTTCTTTAAAAATTATTGAATCCTTATAATATAATTAATTATGAATTAGTTAAATTTAATGTGATATAATAATTCATATTTTACGAATTACTCTTCATTTGAAATGTCTCAACCATTTTATATAACCATTTTTTTATTTTATCCATAATTAATAATTTTTGCAATATATTTGTAATATAATAAGAACCCTACTAACTTTACAAGGAAAAAAAATGTACATAAAAAAAGGATATCCTCGTTATGATCTCTTGAAAAATTAATATAATTATTTGGCAATAGTTGTATATTAAACCAAAATTTAATAATATAAACAAATATGTGTCCATTACATAAGGTATTATATTATAGTAAAATATTAAGATGATTTAAAATTGCACATAGTTCGTTGTGTTATTTGATGTTTGTAACAACCTTCTTGAGAGAGATTTTAATGCCAGCAAGCAATGATTTGAATTTAGAATAATATCTTCTTCTTCTTTTTTAAATGGGGGTTAGGATTAGAGTAAGGGGTTTTGTTTATATAAAACAATATCTCTTATGCAACTAACCTAATTTACTAATTTAATAGTCTAAGAATGTGACGACTATAGTTGAATAATTTTAAAAAAATATTTATATATTAAAATAAAATTAAAAATTATTATAATTAAAAATATTATATATTTATTATATTATTAAATATAAAAATATACTATAATATTATAATTTAAACTATAAAAATTATTTAACTAAATTTAAATTATTAATTATAATTATAGTAATTTATTCAACTTGTCTAATAAAAATATTAATTAATAAATAAAATCTTTAAAATTATTCATATAATTAAAAATAAAATTTTACCCTACAATACAATGTTATATTATTCTTTAATATTACTTAGAATAATTAAAATTATACATATAAGATTTGAAGTAAAAAAGAGCAAGTATCATTTAACATAACATCAAAACATGTAAATACAGATTGTTCATTTATATTATCTAATTTTTTTATAACTAAATATTTTTTTGTAAGAGTTTTTTATAATAATTCTACAAAATAAGAGTGTGTAAAAAAAAATCATGCAACACACATAAAATTAGATAATGAGAAAAAATATTTATTATCTACAATATATAAATTAAAATAGTTAATATAAAGGGGTTTATTACTTTATGGAATGAAAGATTCCAAACTTGATACCTTTTTAAAAAGTCTATAACTATATCATTCTAATAGTTAATTCTGGTTAGATAAGCTAGTTAACCAACTCATAAACTATCAATTGTATGTCAAACACACACAAAAGTTTTTTTTTTTTTAATATATTATCTTTTCTCTAAATCTAATTTTGGCTTTTTATAAATAAATGTTTGAGTTATTTATCAGTATTAATTGTGCATATTTATAAAACTAGCATGTTTTTATCTATTTTTGTTAAAAAACATATATTTCAATTTAAAAGCATCATGCAATAAAAAAATGTTTATTAGTTACACAGAAAGCATCTATTGGATGATATTTTTTTTATATTTTTTATATGATGATAAGTAACTAATCTAAATATATATCTTTCCGCGAAAATGTATTAAATCTAAATAATATTTGAAATATTTTATATTTGACTTTCTTCTAATTAATAAGTTAAACTCATGATATTTTCTCTTTATTAGATAAAATGTTGAACAAATGTCAAGAATTAAAACACAAGAAACATCTCAATCAACCACGTTTATAACCCAAAATATTAAAATATTAGATATATAAGTTTATTTTATGGTTCAACATATTCATTTATTTTATCTAAATTCTAATATTATAGTTTTCTTCAGGTGTTAGGTGTAGTTAAAAGTGCATAAAACAACAATTGTAAGATTCCTTTGTGCCATGGAAGGTAATGGTTTTGGCAAATAATGATTCTTCTTCCTTTCCACAAGTTTAAACAGCTGTAGAGCACAGCATGCTTCAAGTTTTATTATATGAAAATACATCTTTAGGGTTCTTCACCCACACCTAAATTTTTTTCAGGTAATTTTATTACAAGTCTTTCATAATTGAAATTAAGTTTATTGAAGGTTTAGAAAGGGCACATAGAAAAAAGTCTTTAATATTATTTGACAAACTGAATATTTCATGCTACTTAGAGGAGGCCAACCTTCAACCATGCGTGACAATTTTTTATCCCCATTGAACTTTGTGAGTGTAGTTTTTTTTTCTTTTTAATATTAATGCAGTGTAATCTGAACATTAAATAAATATTGTTTGATTGTCCAATTTTCAACAATAATTTTGATTCCTTGTTGATCTCATAAAGTCATTAATTGATTGAATAATCTGAAATTCGGAAGAATAATGTTAATGTAATAGAAACATATATACGTGGTTGGGAATGGTGTGTGTAGCTTTGTCGTGTCTCACTGGGATTCCTGTGTTCCTTCACAAACTAATCGAGGATCATTTTTCTTAGTCAATGACTTGTTTTGGTTGGGTATATGGTTGATTGAAGGGACACTACCAACTCCAAGATATTCATGGGGTCTCATGTGATTCCTTTTGAAATTCTAGTATCAAATATCTTCTTCCCTCTTCTCTTCAATAAGTTAGGGTTACATGTGCATCTACCAACTCATTTATCAAGTTTTTTATTTAATAAAGGTAAATATGAATTGTGAAAGCCATATATATCTTAATTAAATTGGTATCTTTTAATGTCATTTACTATTTACTAACATTAAATGTTGTAATAAAAAATCAAATACAAAATTTATGAAAAGATTAAGACAAAGTTTATGATAAAATTAATCAAATATAAAGTAATATAACAATTATTTATGTCTAAAAATTCATATATAAAAATAATTTAGGTTAAAGTACAATTTTAAGTGTTTATGATTTTTTACTCACGGTTTTTGTTTTTTTTAGTGATTTTATTAATACTTTAAACGTTCTTAATTTTATCCAATTCTTAATCTGAACTATAATGTAGCAGAAATTAGTCATCTGTGTTTAGAGCCCCTGAAAATCATCCAACGAGCTAATTTAAAATACTGTTATCACTTTCTGAGCAAAAGGTTTTCATGATCAATCTTTTCTCTCAATATGCAGTACACATGATTCTACTTGAACAAACCTTAAGGCAGTAGTTATTTTTGCTGAAAATTTCTGCACCCCTTTCACACAAGTTTACTGATTTTATTTTTTATCTTGATTTGTCCACCATCCGTCCAATTGTCTTCCATTATCAGCCAAATTTGTACAAACCTTCCTTCTCCAATAATGCAAGTGTGATGAGTCTAGTGAGGATAGTTTTCTCCTAAAGCAACTTCAACATGCACTTGCTTATCCGATTACTGTTGCTGCCATTTATTTCAGCAACTGCATACATCAGTCACAGAAAGAGGACAAAGACTGGTTTTCTTAACTGCGTTAACTTTGTAAAAAAATGTTACTATGAAAAAGAATTTTGATTTTGTTTTCATTATATTAGTTTATCTTCCCAATTTTATTCTCTGTTTTTCTAACCATATCTTACATCCCTTTAAATTTATATAAGTGTATATATGGTTTGGTCTTTCTTTTTTCATTTGTCAACAAAATATTGTTCAATTCAATAGTGGACAACGGTTAAAGAACCATGTATTGTCTTATTTGAAATTGAGTTATATATGCAGTACCTGAAATTTGGTAGATGCAAAACTACGCGATGAAAAGGATAAAAATCCATAACTTCAAGCACAGATAGGGTTTAAATTTACACTTGGTGCATATATTATTAGGATATGCATACAGTTTAGCAGAGTTTTACACGTATGTTGTATTCGGGGTCAAAACTAGTTACACTTAAAAACAATGTGACTATTGATACTGATCAAGTTTTATACTATGCAGTAGTTTTTAAATTGTTCTTGGACGGTAAAGAATGTGTCGGCAAGAGACGAATGTTGACTTGAATAAGCCTAAGCGATTAGGTGTACTTGTTCAATAAATAGTATCCTCCAATTCCTATTATTCATACTCTCTACCTGGCTAAAGAACAAAATGAAGTTTCATCTGTTAAGATTAATTGATGGTAAAAGTAAAGAGTGAACACCCTTTTCATATCTTTGACATATTGAAACCCTTTTACATAAAATAAAACTTTCAAATTTTTCATAGAAGTATTTAAAATATGCAAAAACAAACACCAAAAAGCAAATCATGTAACTTTTGGGGATTTTGGACATGTGGTTATTAAAGTTGATGGCAAACAATGATGACATAAGTTCCAACATTTTCCAAATTGGCACCCTTTGAGTCTGCAAAGGTGAACTTCAGCAAGGTGGAACAAGTTTTCAACCCTTTGGGACAGGACAGAAATATTTTATTCAATAGAAATTTCTTGGTTTATCATTTTATTTGTTATATTATTTCAACGCTCGTTGTGAATAAGTAATGGAAAAAATATGTACAAGCACGACTATTTCATGGAATTTTTATATATAAGTCTGTTTGTGCACTGTTTCCCTATCAAATATTTTCCCTTCCTTCTCTTAGTTTGCTCTGCCACCTCTTTGAGTTCTGCTGTAGAGAATCCAATTCCAAGGCTATCGTTGAAGTGAAATTCTGTGAGGCAAAGCAAAATGGGGTGCCAGCCATTGGAAAAGGGAAAACCAAAACATAAGAAGGGGTTATGGTCACCTGAAGAAGACAACAAGCTCAGAAACCACATCCTTAAACATGGTCATGGTTGCTGGAGTTCTGTCCCCATTAAGGCAGGTTGGTTTCTTTCTTCTTCCCTGTTTGTGACCTTTTGTCAATCATACCACAGTGAGCATATTCCTAGTATGTACTACACAAAACAGAGGGGCATTGTTCCACATTCTTAATACTGTTATATTATTAAATGGATACATCCTTGGTCTTCTTGAAGAAAGGTCTCTCTTCCTTGATTGGAAAGTATGTCTACTAATGTGGGCATGTTTCGCTGATTTTAACATCAATGAATTTGAGATGTCTTAATGAAATTTTCTTTTCCCTTTGTTTGAATTAATTCTATTGAATTTATCCAATCAATTCTGGTTATGGAAAGGATAAATGGGTAAGGAAAATAATACTTGTACCATGAGGTGTGTTTGGCACGATAAGAAAATTCTTAAATAAGTACCAACAATTAAAAAAACTATTATATTTTAAAAACATTACATTATCACTCTTTTTATATTTCGCATTATTCAGTTTTTAATCTGTTTTTTTTTTGTTTATTACTCATGTAGTATTCTATTAATTAAAATACCTTTATCCAAATTAATTTTTACCTTTATATTTTAGTTTCTCCCTTATATTTAAAAGTTTTTTCAAATGGATGACTTATTAGTTACTAAAATTTCATAATCCTCTCTGCTAGAGTAATGTGACAATTCTGGCTTGTGTAATTTTAACATCTTATGGTAAGACTATGTGGGCATTTTGTGTAAGAGTAGATTTGCTGACAAAATATTGAAGTGCTATGGTCAAACCAACAAGCATTTATATAGTAATATTTTGAATGTTTACCTAATATTGATGTACAGGTCTGCAGAGGAATGGAAAGAGTTGCAGACTAAGATGGATTAACTATCTAAGGCCAGGATTAAAGAGAGGGAAGTTCAACAAACAGGAAGAAGAAACAATCCTGACCCTTCACCACATGCTAGGCAACAAGTAAGCCACAAGAGTAAATATTCTTTCACTTTATCAGTATAAAAGTTTCATATGAGCAAGTTAAAGCAGAATAAGTCAATTTTGTAATTTTCAGTCCGAAAAATATTGATAAAGACATGTCAGGAGTTGGTGTTAAATGTTAGTAATTATGTTTTAATTATTACAGTACAAAAATGATGCTGGTAAAGGAAGAGACAAAGTCCTCCAGTTCAATATTTGAGGCTTAAGCTAGGGAATGTAATTGGACTGGAAAGAGATTAATATTTAATTCTGTTCTATAAAAGCAACTAGGTCTTTTAAAATGAAAAATAAAAGGAAGAATTGATAAGTAAGTCAATCAGTATGAATTGGCTTAGATGCCATGCTTCTTTTTTTAAAGAGGGATGAACATTGAAAACAAAAAAGTCTATTCTACTATTTCTCAATTCTTTATATTAAATTTAAATCAAGTCCAATGTTATTTCTCCATTGTATAGTGTGTCAGTGTCCCTTCATATGTTCCAATTAGTAATCATCAAACATTTTATGCATAAAAGACAAACTATTCACATAAAGAATGTGTGTCTGTGAACCTTGTAACATTAATTCACAGTTGCCATCATGAAATTAGAACAGAAATTCAACGCGGATGTTTAAACTCTTTGCTATAATTCTTCCCCTTATAGTGAAGACTGCTGAGAGCAACTTGAATTATATTATTGGCCAGGTGGTCACAGATATCACAGCATTTGCCAGGAAGAACAGACAATGAGATTAAAAACTACTGGCATTCATATTTGAAAAAGAGAGTGGCCAAAGCTAAGGAAATGGATTCTCATAAGCAAATCAAGTATGCTAGTTCAAGCTCAGATACCATGGACTCTTCAAATTCTCTCCAAAAACTTGCAACTCAAGCCACACAGAATTGTAACTTCACCAAAGAGGCTTGTCAAAGCTCCTTACCAAAACTGTTATTTGCTGAGTGGCTTTCATTGGACCAAGTAAACTCTGCAAATTCAGTTGACTCTTTTGGTTTGAGAAATGGATTTGATCAAAATTCAACTCTTCAAGGAGCTCCAATTCATGATATCTCAGAGGTACCCTTCGGTGGAGGGTACCATAGATGTGTAGCTAACATTTCATCCCCTGAGATGTTCAATTCAGAGCTGAAGTATGCAAATCAAATGGTGGAAAATGGTTTCATCCATTGCATGCCTGGAGTTGACTTAATTAGCAACTTCAGCCTGAGCAATGATGCAATATTGTACATATGAGAGCTAAGTTCGGGGTTGGTCAGCAAGGAATAATATTATTTTCTAATTTTAAACATACAGAAAAAAAAAAAAATCAAACTTTAGCAGTATAAAATAATAGTTCCATTCCAAGTTGTATGTTACTTCTACCCCACTTTCAGTTATATCAATAGGATGCCACAAGCATGATTAATTGTTATTCTTCTAGAATGGTTGTTGCATATGTATATGTAATTTCGTTTCAAATTAAGAAGTCAACTTCTGTTGTTCTTCACTGGTTTTACTGAAAATCTTAAACATTTTTGGCCATGTATATATGAAAATGATGACGAAATATCAGGCTACGGCTAAAGTGATAAAGAATCACCAAGTGTTAAGAAATTATTCTCCATATACTACTTAAATTATTTTTTTATTATTTTTTGTAAATTTTAAAATTAAATACTTAAATACCCAACATTTTATGAGACAGATTTAACGAGACTGATATATTGGGTTCAACATAATTTTTACATGCTTACAAAACATCTGGTAGATACGCTATTGCACGTGGATACCAAATTTTTGAAGTATGTTTTGGGAAAGTTTTTTCAAACATTTAAGTTGTTTTCGAGAAAAAAATAATCAGTTTAAAACTAAGTTGAATATTTGGGACTACAGATGAAGTTTTGTAAAAGAACTTGTCTGAAAAATAAGTTATTTTTATTAATCTGAAAACTATATTATGACTTTTTTTGAAATAATATACTCGTGTTGAAATAATGATTTTCTTAATTGAAATAATCTGAAAAACAAGTTTTACTCATTTGATAAAAATCAGTTATTTTCTATATTTACACACCATTAAATACATACATAAATATCGATTGGCAACTCGTGTGACTACACAAGTCAGAGTACTGGATCATTTAAAAGGAAATATTTCACTATCAAGGTAGAAAGTAAAAACTCTGACAAATCAGAAATTTCTTCCTCAATTTGGATCTCTCTTTCTCTGTCTTTCCTGGATTATGTGCCGAAGGGGCCACTTGATATCTTAATATTTTCTGCAACATCAATGTTGTATCATATTTAATACTAGTGGACCATTTATTTAAGTTCTGCATGCAGAGTTGAAGATTATGGTATCAAACCAGCATCTTTGGTCTTGATAAGAGGAATTGTCACCAGCTTGAAATAATAAATTCATCTGTGAGAACTAAGCTAGCCCATAGAAGAGCCACAGAAGTAATTACAAGGATCATAATAGGTGTCCATTTCAAAGCAATCACCTGTTATCCAAAGAATAAATTGATTGTTATTTTCTATATTTCTTGACCAGAAAGAAGGGAGTGAAAATTTAGAGCTTTCAACTTTAGCATACCTCAAGGCGTGCAGAACACCATATTGTGGAGTCAGCTTGAGGAGTAACTGATAACCTTCTCATTGTTTCTGTCGTTATGAGATGTTGTCATGTGAACAAAAAAGTTGCATAACTCGTTTTTAACTTTGTTCAGCTTCTAGTTCTTAGTGTAGACGATCAAAGAAGAGGGGGAAACTCTTACCTGAATTTCTCTTCCTTTCTAAAATGTTATAAATATCTTCAGTGGCAACATCTAAATCTTGTTTCCGGTTAGCATTAAGTTTAGATAGGTTGGCCTGAGTTCTTGTGTCAATGTACTGTCTACTAATGTTTGCAATTATACCATCTGACAAAGAAATCGTGATTTGTTTGGCAAGGAAATATGGCAAAAACAATTTTTTCACTAAGAGAAAATGTTGGGGGAGGGTAAAAGAAGTGGACCTCCACTTCCTTATTTAGCAAACATTAACCACAAGTCCTGGACAATGATATCATTGTAGCATGCTAATGATTCAAGGGAATTACCAAATTTGACAAAGCTGTATGGCCTTGTGATTTTGTCTATGAGAGTTTTATCAAACTTCTCAAACTCCTTTTGAATATCTTGTAGGTAATGAAAAACCAGTTTTCTTGGATATGTGGACTCACACAAGACAATGAAAACAACTCCGTTCTCGACCAAGTAGCTTAATACCAACAGAATATAATCATAATCAATTATTTTTGCAGTACAATTGCAACTTTCGAAACTAAAGAGGAAAAAAAGGCCAAGAAAGGCAGGTTCCTTTAACTCAAATTTTATGGTTAAATGGATTGTTTATAGACTCAACAAAAACTCTATCCTGGAAGATTAGTCTTTGATAAACTATGCATGTGAATGATGAATATGGTACATAGCAGAAAATTGCAAGCTTGAAAACAACTCCATCTATAGGAGAATCAAAACTGACTTAGACGAAAATTAAAAGAACTGAAAAAAAAAATTAAGAGGGAAGGATACTTGAAGCAGAAATGATCAACATGAATAGTCATCTTGGAAGCTGTTAATACTCCCCTTGAAATTTCTTGGAGAATAAACTCTGCTTGTTGCCTGTAACATGAAAGATATCCATTCTCTTCATTCATATATCTCAGTCCTTGTGCTAGAGGCAATCCATCGCTTACCCTTCCAACTATAGTTGCCTTCACCATATCCTCTGAACTAAAACTGGTTTTTGAAAATTTCTCTGTTATCTCTAATAATGGATTGATTCTCCTTTGTTAATGACTAACATGAATGGAATAATTTGTGACGGCCTTTTATAGAAGGTATGAGTCAGAGAACTTGGCAAAGAAGTTATTCCTAGTGTGTGCATAAGGAACCATTACGGGTGGACAAAAGATAAGGGGTGGCAAAAGCTTTATATGATAAACCCCTTAAAAAGAATATGCATTTCCCTGCTTAAGCACTTTTTTTTAGTCTTTTCAATGGTCCTTGTGGAAAATTGTTACTTAGAGTTTTTCATGTTCGGTGCAAGGTGAATATTGTGACTTGTGTAATCTAAAATCCACAACCACAAAAGATAATACAGTATACATCTTGAATCAAAATAAGAATAATACACCCTTTGTATTTTACTGTATAAACTCAATTTAGAATAAACTTATAAATTTCTTACTTACTTAGACTGTAGAGCAATGCATTTTATAATTTTCTAGCTTGAACTTTCTCTAAGAAACATAGAAACAACCTCATGCATACATTTGAAATGTGTTTAATATGAAGAGTTTGAAAGTGAATTTTTCAGCAAACATATAAATTAAAATTAATTGTTATGCTCTAATCCCTATAGTTGTTTTAGATTTAAAGAGAAATAATCCTCAATACTGTTGGGAAGTTTAGAGGAATGTCACACTTAAAATTCTGATATATAGGTTTTTATTTTGAAAGGCTGATATTTAGGTTACAATTTGACAAAGGAACGATTAAGTATTTTGTTATATTGTTTTATAAATTTTAATTTTTTTTTACTGATATTAATTATAGAAAATAATCCTCTATACTTTTGTTATCCATATTTAACATATTATATATTTTAAAATTCATGAACTTCATATGGTAATTTCGTGTAAATAAATGAATAAATAAAAAATAAAAAATGTAATTCTTTTAACAAACTATTAAATTATATTATATCTACTCAATTATTATAGTTAGATTTCACATAAAAATAAAAAGTTTAACAACCTAAAAATAAAATAAAATAAAAAACGCACGAAAAATACGTAACTTAAGTTGAGGAGCGTCATATGCATATTTTAATCTATTTGTGAAAACATGATTTCCTTGTTTCCTCGTTTTTGTTGGAGGGATAACTTCTTAATATATTTTCATTTTAATAATTATTTTATTAAATATATAATTAATATAATTATTTTAAAATAAAAAGACTAAAATTATTATCTATAAAAACTCGTGAATTAAAATAGTTAAAAAAATTTTAAAAATGAATAAGATGAAAAAAATATTAAGCAAAATATTTAGAAGAAGTAGATTATTCTTATATTAAGCTAAAATATATTTATTTAATATCGTGATTTTTACGTTTGTGTTGTTAATAATGAGTACCATTAAATAAATAAATAAAATAGTTAAACAAGATATGAATAAGAGACATCAAAGACTTTCTTAATAATAATAATAATAACTAAAACACACATTGAAAACTTGAAGATGGTTTCCCTCAAAAGTAAGAAAGGAAATAAGAGAATGACCTAAAGTAAAATTCTTTAACAGATCTTAAATTTTAAACTTAAATGTTATAAATATTAATATAATATAGATAAATCTTAAAATTTAAAAATATGTGATATGCTGAAATTCATTTAAAATAAAACAAGATCGTGTTGGAATTTGTTATAATTTGTGTATATTGTAATATTTTATTTTTTATTTGTTATAATTAATAAATGAATAATTGATATAACGTTATAATATAAAAATAAAAATAAAAGTGTTAAAAAGAAAGGGAGAAGGGAGTAAATAATTGAAGAAAAAGAAGGATATTGACGAAGGTTTGACCTGTGTGGCAGTTCCAAACATAAATGCACCTCGTTCACACCGTCTTCACCTTAACCAATGAACATTCATTAGATATGGTTCTCGCAATGCACTTCCAATTCCATCCATCACTCCCTGGGCTCTGCTCTTGTCTTTTCTCCCACCGCTTCATCTTTTCTGGTCATTCAACACAATCACAAAAACTCTCTTTCTGCTTTTGTTTTGTTGTGCAGAAAGAAATGACCTTGCACCTCTCCCTCACAGCTGCATTGCACTCAAGGTGATGATGCACATGCATTTTCATATTTAAGAGGCACCCTTTTCTTTTCCATCACTTCCCTCGTTTTCTGCATCCCTTCCACACCTTCAAAATAGTACTACTAATATCTGACCTCTCAGTGGGGCGTCCCTGCGCCCCTTGCTCTCCACACACCCCTTCTCTCTTCTTAACATTCTCAGCTTCTGATCTCTATTTCATGTCATTAAGATCCACACCACTTTGAGTTACAAGGGTATGTATGTTTTTTTTTTTTACTTATAAATGTGACCCTCTATGTGCTGGACCTCTCTAAGCCGCCCCCATTGTCCTATTATTATACACACATGCATTTAATATTTAGCCTTTTCTTTCCTTTCCTTCTGCAACACTCTTCCTTCTCATTTTTTTACATCCCCTCTCTCTCTCTTCCTTTTTTTGGTTTTGATGAGTAGACCCTGACTGACCCAATTGTTATTGTCATCAGTGTGTGCAAGTGCAAGCTTATTATTAAAAGCTAAGGTAAAATAAAAAAACAAAACAAAACAAGACCGTGGTATTAATTATTGTTTGGGTGTGGTAATGAGTGGGGAAGATGGGTAAAGCACCTTGTTGTGAGAAACATGGAGTCAAAAGGGGAGCTTGGACTCCTGAAGAAGACCAAGCCTTGGTTGACTACATCAAGGAGCATGGTCATGGAAGTTGGCGTACTCTTCCCAAACATGCAGGTTACTTCCTTATCATTCTTTTTTCTTTTCTCACTTTCTTCTTCCCTACTTTTGCATTTCTTGTTAGGTAGGAATACTTTTCTGTATTTTTTTTCCTTGTCCTTTTTGGAAAATTTTGAAGATAGGGAAGAGTAGGGCTTATTTTCTTATGGCTGAAGTTTTCATTTTTCTTCAAGTTTCAGGTATTAATCAGTGAGAACTCTGACCTTTCTCTTGAACAAACTTCAATCTTACTGTGACTTGTTTTCAGAATTAAGAAAACTCCATTGTTGTTTTGGTTGTATTCTAGTAGGACCAATTTCTGCATGTTATAGTACTTTTTTGTTGTGTGGAGGGTGAGTGGGGGTAAGTACAGTCCTTCATAGAAATAAACTAATGAAAACTATTAAATTCCTTAATCTAATCGTGTCATCATCCAGTACTTGTTGTCATAACCTAATTTTTTGGCATATGCATAGAGCTTTATTTTGATCCAATTGTACTTTCCCCTTGGAAAGATGTTTTGGAATTTGTGTTTGGCAAGGGATTTGAAGCTTGCTAGGGAAAAGGTGTAAGATTGACACACTGATGGAGAAAGGTGCTGACATGGTTATAATTCATAAAGATGGAGAAATTATTCTATGAAAAATCATTTAATTGATGTATGCTTACAATTACAATTAGGTCTCTTACGATGTGGAAAAAGTTGTCGGCTCCGGTGGATAAACTATCTTCGCCCTGGCATCAAGCGTGGCCCATTTACCAGTGAAGAAGAAAGTACAATTGTTCAACTTCATGGCATGCTTGGTAACAGGTACCACATTGTTCCTTTTGCTTATTAAATTCAACATGTGCGCAATGCATATACCTAAAAGACTTATTTTACTCAAAAGCTGCATCATAATAATAATTAATAAACATTTTGCATGCTTCATAGAAATGTGTCACTTCCCTTCCAATGGATATAGTTTCTGTTTTAAGCCTATTGTCATCATGGATCCTTAATGTACTATATATAAACGTTAGGAAAAGTAGGAGTTTCAACTTTCACAATATGATAATGATAGAGTAGCCTAAGACCTCCATATTTTTGTTGTTATACTTCGATATTTGGTTGCATTGATGTGTACCTGTGATATTACATTCACTTTGCATATAAACAGCAAGTAACCGTGCATTTTCTTAGGTGGGCTGCTATAGCATCCCAATTACCGGGAAGAACAGACAATGAGATTAAGAACTATTGGAATACCCATCTAAAGAAGCGTCTCCTTCAATCATGTAATTCCCTTAGAGCAAAACAGACATGTCTGAATCCGGATCTAACTATTGTCAAGTCTGAATCTCCTTTGACGCGTCACATGGTACAATGGGAAAGTGTAAGAGTTGAGGCAGAGGCAAGGTTGTCCATGGAATCCTCGTTGCTCAATTCATGGCCGATGAGTACAACATGCCCTGACCACTTTCTTCAACTTTGGCATTCTGAGGTTGGAAAGTCATTTCGCATGTTCAAGGGCAAGGAAGGAGTTGTGAGTCAAAGTCCTGTCTCACATCCTTCATCCTCGTCTAAATTGGAGTCATGTTCAGATGTGTCATTGCAGGTGAAAAACAATGGAACTAGTAGTTGCGATCCATACATTGAAGATGTGAACATGGTTCATGAACATATAAGTAGCTACAAACCAAAGCTTGACGATGACACAGCTGGGTCTGACTCAGGCAATTATGAATTTCTTGATACTTCAGATTCTGCACTAAAGCACCTTCTACATATGCCTGATAGTGATGTTGGATTCTTGGGACAGAATGATAGTTTCTTGAATCTTCTTGATGGTACATGTGACCAAGATAGTCTCCTTCATATCTCTTCAGAGAGACAATGTCTGAACTGATAGGAAAATTTTCTTTGCCTTTTATGAATTCTTAATTTTTGTAAATGCACTCACCATGTAGTTGGGTTTCAATAGTTGGTCTACAAGGGAAAGAAGATAGATAGAGGAATAGTTGCTAGAGTTCAAGTTTACCTTCTACTATGGCTGTAGCTAGAAGTTAATATTAATGGATTCAGAGTTAATGATATTATCATGTCCTTCAATTGCTGCTGCTGTTTGAATGTGTATGTATACTGGTCGCTGTTGGGGATGTGTTCTTTTAATTCACAAAAGTACAGGGCATTCAATTGCCACATGTGTAAGAATTAATGTTGACATGCCAATTTTTATTATGTATAAACTAATTTTGTTTTAGAGTGAGTAAACAGGTTTTAATTTTGAATTTTAATAACACCACATTATGTTTTCATTATCGTCAATTATTTACTTACTATTATACAAGCTTAAGAAAAAAATGCAATTCTTTAGTATGTCCTGATTTTTCTGGTAGGAACTAATGTCTTGATCTGATGCATTCTTACAATAGGTTAAGTTTTAAATTAGTTGTTATCATCAAACTTATTTATTAACTTGCTGACAAATTCAACCTGGGAACAAAGTTAAACCCCATGGAAAATTGTACTTGTTTTCATGAAATATACAACCCTTATTAATAGTGCAGAATGCAGAACTCAAGAGTGAACGATGAACACTAAATGGTACAGGAAATTGGTTTACCCAAATTGAATAATTTAATTTCTTGAATCCACGAAGTAATTGTTATATAGACACCACCAACATATCACTATGAACACAACAATAAATGAACATGAACTACAACTCACCAAAAGACAACAAAACCACAAATGTACTGATGATATAAACTATCAGAAAAATAAGACATAATAATAGCATTAATAATAATAATAATACAACATTTTGGTTAATGACCAGGCTTATTAGAAACAACCAAAGAGTTTCTTTGGGGCTGTTCCAGTTGCCCTGTACTTTGCAGCTGTCTCCTCTGCCTTCAAGAAATCTTCCCCTTTTTTGGCCTCAATAAATGCCCTCTTTTCTTCAGCTTCTCGATGGATTGTAGCTATTTTATTTTTCAACTTCTCTCCATATTCTGCTTTTTTCTTCTCCAGTTGTTCCTGCTCACAAACACAGTGAAAATGAAATGTTAATTTTTCCTCCCCATCCTGACAAGTGCAATGTGTCTTAGTTTAGCTTAAGCTTAGCTTAGACATAAAATTGGAAAAAAAATATTTTACTGTTCACAATGCATGTTAGAGTTTACACCCAGATTCTTATATCTGATTTACTTTCTTCATTTCTATTCACCACTCGTTTTCTTCTTCTAATATCTTTCTGTCTCCCAATGGTGTGTACATTCATTAGAGTGTGCTTAAATTCCCTTTTAAGTTGACTTTGGAATAAAAATTATTTATAACAGAATATTCTTATTATTGCCTTCTTATAAAAATAATAATTAGGGGAGCTGAAAAATTAATATAAGATCACTTTCAAGAACATGAACAACAATACTTTTAATGGGTTATTCCATTTCTATTGTAAGAAAAAAGGTATGAACAGACACAATTTCAGAAAGTACCTACAGAACAAGTTACAATTACTACGAATAATTTCTTAACAGGCTCTTACTTCAATCTTCCTCAATTCAGCTTCCGCTGCAGCTTTCTTACTGTTTTCCCATGCTGAAATTGCTGATATATTTTTGTGAGCCCTGCTCATCAAATTCATATAAATTAGTAACAAAATAAAACACTCATCAAATGACTTCAAAGAACGAAATGTAATGATAAAATAATATGAATATCTTATGTTTACTAACAAGCTAGTATGACAAAACAAATAATTAAAACTCCATATTTACAAATCTAAATCTTCTTCAAACATCACAGTGATCATGTTAACAATGTTTTCTAATGCCAACTGCAGTACTTAAAGAGCCAAAGATCAGGTGAGTTTCTATTTGAGCTTAAAAGTCAATGTGACAATGTTTTATGCAAAGCTTCTTTGCCACCCTTCTGTGTTGCATGTTCTTACTTGTTCTCTGCTTTTGACTTTTCACTTTCTTCCCATGCTTTGATTAGTGATAACCTCTTCTCAGTTGCAACTCTCGCAAGAACAGCATCTAAAGAAGAAAGAGAAGATGTAGGGATCAGGATGTAATGTCAGCATATGAAGTGTACAAAGAGAAATCATGTGTCACAAAGACAAACAAGCAAACCTCGGTTCACAGATCCTTCAATTGGTTTCTCTTCAGTAACTTCACTAGTCTCTGACAAAAACCATATTAACAACACAAAACACAACCATTATTATGTTTGAGCCTTTACAGAAATTATTATGGTGATGAAATAGAAATATATATATATATATATATATATATATATATATATTGGTGAACTAAAGAGACAAGAAGGTGACTTATATGGTAGGATTAAACCAAAAGTTAAGTATACAGCATGCAAATGGATACATGAAAGCCAAGGCCACTTGAAGGTGACTTGTAAACAGATGATAAATAAAAATTATCAACATGGGAGATCTTAAAACCATGAACGGAGTAATACTATATGAATCAGAGGCCCAGGTGAAGATGTTTCTTCCTTTGAACTTCCACATGTTATGAATTCAAGTATGCAAAATTGGATTTTACTTGATTGCTATAATCATAATTATCATTCAGTTGGATGGTAACCCATCAATTTAGTTTGGGCATATAACTCTTTCCGATAGAACTATGACAGGGAAATTCCAGCAGAAGAAAAATGATAAAAAAAACAAAAGAAAAAAAAAATATTAACTACTTAAATCACAGAAAGTTTAACTTAATCAATGAGTTTTGACATTATTTTTCTATAGCGTTAGTCGCTATAAGACGTTAAAAATCAATAAGAAAGCCTCGAAGACGAAGAAAAATAAACACCTAGGTAGGTAGAAACAATTTCACTTATATTAAAATCATCATATATCTCAAAATGAAATTAAAAACTGGTCACCTTGGCCAGTTACAAAAGATAAACAGCATAAAACAAAAGCAATGAGTTAAATATAATAGTATCAATGAATGATAAGAGAAAAGCAAAGGAGAGTTATAACAGTAGCATACTGTCAACTATGACAAGAGCTTTGGAGTCATCAGCAGGAGGAGAGGGTTGTGGAATTACAGATTTCTCCTCCGCCACATCCTCCTTTGGAGGGTCATGAGCAGCAGGTTCAGGTGGAGGGTGAGAGGGAGTACTTTCGGGCACAGTTTTGGATAGCTCCTCAGTCATTTTGGTCACAGTGGTGACTCAAATTCTCTGCAAAAAGTGATGGGAAAAAAGTTGTGAGTTGTTTGGGAGTGTTAAAAATAGTATGATGGAAAGATATGTAGAGAGATTGAGGAAGAAGAGAGAGTTGGTTGGGATATTATGGTTGAAGGAAGTAACTTAACTCAAATTCTAGAGGCTTAGCTGTGTGGGTAACTGTGGTAGGTACAAGTGGCCTCCTATGAGTTGGCACACCACACCAATAGTGACAGCACCTGCCACTATATATTTCTACAAGACAACCATTAAGTGTGATTAAGATTCAAATCAATCATTAATTTTATGGTTGATTCAAGGATCTAAATTTGTAAGAATATAATTGCATTGATTAAAAATTAAGTTGTATTATCTATTAATATAATGTTATTATAAATAATAAATTCAGTTTCATTTATATGTTTCATTATATGAATGAACTCTACACAAATATGTATGCATTTGATGCAGAAGAAATCTGCAAGCCTTGCATACTTTGACTTTCATCCTTTACATATATGCATGCATGGCAAAATTTTATAAACAAAAGTGTTTTATTAACATTTACTGGATTTTTAAGCAATTGAAGATAAAAATGATTATAAAATGGAAAATATTTATTTGTAAAATATTAGAATAGTTATTTATATTGAAAAAATAGTCAGCATTATATCAGAATAATGTACAGTAAATAAATGAATTGTAGAAGAATGAATAACAAACCATGTAGACAATAATAGATTATATCCATAAAAAAAGGGAGATAGTTTTATATTTCTTATAAGATTCTAAAAAAATAGAGATGATAAATATAACATATATGTAAAAATTGAAAATATTTATTGAATGTACAACTTAAGAATACAAAAATGATTTAAATAAAAAAAATTGAACCATAATAAGTCAAGAAATATTACATTAAAATATATTTGAGAAAGTGTGTAAATATTTTTGTTAGGATTATAATATTTAAAATATTATGCATTTAAAAAAATAAAATTTTATATTAGATAACATATTTCTAATTAAGTTGTTAATCTTCTTATTAGTATTTGATTATGTTAGGGTTATAATATTTAAAACATCATACATTTTAAAAAATATATTACATTACAGTAACATGTTTCTAATTAAAACGTTATTATATTCATTAGTATTTTGATATTTAAAATATTACATATTTTAAATATGAAAATAGTCTAAGTCGCACATTTTTTTTAAAAATACATGTTTTTAAAAAAATTAATGGTTGAAATTAATTATCATTAAACTGTTTGAAGTTGAAATATAATACAATAATTACAACTATAAATACTTCTCAATGACCCGTTAAACAATAAATTATTGGTTTAAAAAACATCCATTAAAAATGCACCTTAAATAATGTCAAAAATGAAAACATCAATTACAATAATAAAAAAATTCAGTGACCCATCAAAAAATATAATTTATATAAGGAAAATATCTTCAAATAATATTTTAATTTTAAATAAAATGTTATTCTATATTTATAGCTGATGTTAATTATTTTAAAAATAAATGTATGAATATATATATATATATATATAATCATATTTAAATATTTTAAATTATAAACTTTTATTTTATTTTATTTTTTACTTTAGTTAGTTTCAAAAATAAAATAAACATAGTGAATGCAATTTTTTTTTGCATATTTTATCTTTATCTTGAACAATTAAACACATAAATATAATAAAGAAATATTTGTTAAACAATATAGATATAATAAATAAAAATATAATAACTAATAAATAATTGTTAAAATCTAATCTTTTTATACAAAGTTTAAAAAAATTGTAAAATATATTTATATCTTGAACAATTAAACACATAAATATAATAAAGAAATATTTGTTAAACAATATAGATATAATAAATAAAAATATAATAACTAATAAATAATTGTTAAAATCTAATCTTTTTATACAAAGTTTAAAAAAATTGTAAAATATATTTATGTTAAAAATATAAATAGTTGAAAATTTAACATCACCTACCTTATGTTATTTTGTATGATTTAAATATATAATAGACTATTCTACGTATTACGAATTAATTTTATATGAACCTTAATATAAGTTTATAACATTTATTTATTAAAGAAACTAATTAAAATATACATTTATAGTATAATAAGCTATATATATTTAATGTCATATTTAAAGTTTCTTCAAGGAAATATTTTGTAGAAATAAATCAATTTTTTTTCCAACAAATTAGTGTGTTTATATAGTTACACCCATTAATTCAATTAGTAATTAATGTGTATCGTGTTTATGCATTTAAAACCTACATGTCTGATTTATAATAAAGTTGAGGCAATGGCATTAAGTGCTTATTCCTTCGTCAAGTTTGAATTTTTCATTTCTTCATCAACATATTTTTATTTTAGTCATGTCTCTAATGGTGTGATTGTTGGAGATTCTTTCTTGATGATAATGGAAACATCATGTGAGACCCATCTTCTAAAGACGCTTGTTATCTCTTTCATTCGATCATTTCATCTACTACATTCCTTCCTTTTCTATCTCCACTTGTAAAACCATTACCTTTCAATAATCCATAATTTGAATTTTGAAACATGTTTTTGTTCTTACCTGGTTGAAAAAAATTACCATTAAAATAGATTTATGTATGTGTTTCCTTAAAAAGGAATTTTTATAATAAATTATTGTTATGTATAGAGAATTAGATTACCTTCTATAAATTATTTTGAATATTATAATAATGATAATTTAGTTGACTTGTAAAATGAATTATGTTGATCTACAAATTTAGTTTATATTTTGTCTAGAATTAATTTTATAAATAGAAATAAAATTTGATACTGTAAAAAAAATTATTTTTCTTACAAAATGAAATATCTAATTCAATAAAATAATAATTATATTTATTTATATACCATAATGTTATTATATGAAGGATAAATAATTTGATATTAGTTTGATAACATGGAATTTAATCTATCACTATTAATTGTTAATATTCTAGTATTTTTAGAGTTTATTATAATATATTTTAAAAATTGTGAGATATTTAATTTAATTTCACGTAATTGACTTAGTAAGATGATGATTTTTCTTATTAAAAAATGTATATAACGACGTTCTAGTTATATAATCATTTGAAAATGTTATGGTAATAGTTAGAAGCATATAAAGTATAAGACTAATCCAATAACAAAAGTTTTATAAGAGAATTGAAAAAGATTAAGACAAAAGATTTTTATTTTAAAAAAATTCAATTCAGAATTATAATATGTCTGATATCCAATATAAAAAGAATTTAAGAGATTTTTAACTTTGTCCGTTATTATATTTATTATCTCTTAAAATAAAGTTATCAAGTATCACGTGAGTTAATTTCCCTTTCAAAATGGAGTATAAGTTAAACACAAAGTTTTATTTTATTTTTTCCTTCGGTTATAAAACCGTGGAGATAAATATGAAGTGGATTGCAAGTGTTGGGAAATAAGTATAAAGTGGATAACAATGGTGCTAAGAAGTGCTAACCCACGAAAACTAGAGCATCAGATAGTGATATTTTGATACTAAGAAAAGAGACAAAAGAGAGTGGGACAACGTTTGGTGATCAAAGCAACACGAAATGTGAGATTGATGGTAACAATAGTCCCTTCTGTTGCCTCTTTCTCTTGGTCACGACAAAAACTTCTTTGTGATTATCCCATCTCATCATAGTTGGTATCTTGAAATTGGAAGTGAATCACTTCCATGATAATCTATTTCCAACCAAATTTTTGTAATAGGGATTGTAGCAAGAAGCAACATTCTCTAATACGTTTTTAAATATATTTTTATTATAAAATATAATTTGTGTGTTAACGTGTGGGATTTATATAAATTACACATTTAATGTCTTCACAGATAAAGTCAAAATGCACACTCCTAATGTGACATTCGAAATATTAATTATTACAAAAACTTTCTTGTATTTTTATTTTTTAATTTATAAATAGTATAAGTTTAATTCATGAAAAAAAAATTCATTTTATTTAATCCTTTTCATTGGTTTCTAATTCTCAAATTTAGGAAGAGTGATAATTACCCCTGATCGAAAATTAGTTTTCGGTATTGATTCTCACCCACCTTTACTGTGGTAGCTAGTTAATCATGTTCAAGATTTAACAACAACTTAGTTAGTTGCTTCCATTTCTATAAATCATTAACTAGAAAAAGACCACAACCCTTGTCTTATTTGATCCAACTATACAGTGCAACATTTAATATTCTTTCATAGAAAAAAAAAAAACTCTCTTTGTTTCAAAATAATATATATTTTTTAAATAATTTTTTTTTGTTTTTTATTTTTTTTTCATAAATGTCTTTATGTATAATTAAGACTAATTACTATAATATCATCTATATTAAATAGACACACGAGTAGTTGTAAAATTAAGGATATTGTTATTAAAATTTATATTAATCAAGTAATTTTTAATGAGTGTAACATAACCTTAAAAGATCACTCTATCCATGTCAAAATAGTGTTCTATTAGTTTTTTTAAGCTATTTTTCCTTTCAAATAATAACCCTGCATATAAATAAAAACAATTAATACAATACTAATTACATTCAAAATAAATATTGGAGTAGTTGAAAAATTGAAGATATTTTTGTTTAAATTTATATTGGTTAAGTAAGTGCTAATTTTTATGTCATAACCTTGAAAAAGTGGTAATATTATTTTGAAATTGTGAGGTATTAAAGAAGAATCAACCAAAACAAGTGAACTATTTATCGTTTTTTAAACCGCTTCAAAAAGTTGCAGTATACACCCTCCTTCAGATGGAAATTGCAGAAGGTAGTATTATTTTTCTGTGTTACAGGAATATTCCTTTTTTTTAGGTAACGGGGAACGAACAAAATTAATTTTGGAGCTTTTGTAACAATCTTGTTGGGGACAAATTTCATATCCACCTTTGTCGACCCATTTGTGTGTGTTTCACATAGAGCAAAACGGCTCTTTTTTTTATCATGTTTTGCTTTTACTAACCGACTCCCTAAGAAGAAACATGAAATCGCTCATTCAGAATTTCCCAAGTCAAACAGCTTAACTTTTAAGTTCTTGTTATGGGTTACAAGAAAATGTATCTTTTTTTGGTACAAATAATATTGATCAATTAATTTAGATTAAATATAAACTCTCAATCATACGTAACTTAGTTTTTCCATCTCCTGTATATTCAATTAATCCATATTATGGGTGACTCTTCTTACTTCGTTGGTATACTATTTGGTTTCTCTCCTATGCATCTCCTTTGCTATTTCCAAACTATGTTGGTTGATATGAATTTTTAAAACTAAATCTTATCAGTTTATTATTATCTTATCTATCTCAATTTTTTTATTTTTTTTATTAGTAACTTATTAAAAACTTGTGCAATAAGGAATCGGAAGCATCACAATATATACCTAAAAACAAACAACAAATTGTTTCTTTCTTTTGATACCCAATACAAACAAACTACTAGCATACATGAGATTATTCCATAAGAATAAAAATATGATATAGAGAAAAGTTTATATGGCTTCATAGTCATCTGCTGTTGCAGGTGCATCCGCTAAAGCAGATAACACAACAAAGACACCAAATACGACTGTGATGATAGCAGTGAAGTTCACAAGCAATGCCTCAGAACCATACTTGTCCAATCCTGAGCTCTCCAGGAAAGTGAGCTTCTCCAGAAACCCAAGAGCAGCAGTTCCCACAGCCAAAACAAATACAAACAGCCCAAATAGTGCATGCCAAGGAAGAGAGAAACGTCTAATGTCTGGAGTCCCACCAGGGTAGAAGAAGATCACAAACCCATATATCCACTGCAGGTAACCAACACAATTTAGACAAAGTTAGTAGATAATTGAGTTTCATTTGGGGATGAGCAGATTGCACCATAATCATATCCTGTCTTCAAGGCATATATATCCAGTGGTTTACCTGAATGCCATAAAGGACAATAACCCCAATTCCAAGCCATGAGTGCAAGCTGTACAGGTTGGCAATCCCACTTTCATTGTGATACTTGAAGGCAGTATAAATTCCGACTATTCCAAGTATTAATGCGATGGCGTGGAGAACAAGGTGTACCAATTTCTTCACTTCCTTCTTCAGGGGAAGAGATTTATAACTTATAATAGCTGCATTTATTTTCCATGTGTGAAAATCAGAGATACAATTAGTAGGTCAACAAAATCAAATGGAATTGATTCGTGAAGCAGTTCGTCGTGAAAGTATTTTGATTACCTTCACCTCCATGAAATATGAGGCCCAAAACAATAAGAAATGGATGAATCTGTATAAAGGAAAATATATGTAAGACGTACAGAATTCCTACAAGAGCAGAATTCAGCAATAGATACTCTATACACCAACCATCTTGTATAATAACATATGCTACAGACATCTCTTTGACCTCGTGATGCACAAGAGAGGCCACAAGGTTAATTCAGATCCAAATGATTAAAAAAAATATATTTTTGACTCTTCAAAAAATAAAATTCAAAGGATTCCATCTCAGAGTATCATGATCTTTTTTAATTACAGACGCACGCAAATGTAAATGAGTACGTTTATTGATTTTCTGCCAGAAGGAAACGAAATATTCAAATGTGCAAATAATTAATCATACAATATTACACTCTTGACAAAGAAAATAGAAAAACAGCCATAGAAGTAGTACTTCACAGCTAATTTATTTCTCACTCGAGTCCAAAAATAGGTAAGCATTAATGTCCATGTACGTCCCATAAGTCAGATTCTGGACCCAATGAATTATTAAATTCAAAATGAGCAGTAACTAGAAAACGTGGTCAATAATTAATGGTCACATACTAAAACAATAGTAAATCTTAAGACCCAAAATTTTCATTTTAAGTATAAAGAATTTCCAGTTTCTAAGGAAACACAGTTTTCACTTACTTTCCAGTTAACTCCTCTGAAGTTTCGATGGCAGGACTTGACCGATAAAATAGGAAAAAGAAAATAAAAACACTTGGGTTCCATTTTTTTTATTTACATAAAATAGTCAAATTCTGATACTAAGATATTACAACAATTCATACTCTGTTCAACCTAGGGAGTTAAACTTTCTTAGTACTACGGATCTAATTTGTAATAGCAACACTAAATTGTTATTAGAACAGGAAAAGAAGAAACTTTAATGTGTGATAATTAACTGTGCATTCCTCTTAAATTATTAGATAAACATAAAGAAGAGTAAAAGTAGAGTAGGTCAGCCACTTTAGCAATCATTTAATTACCCATTAAAACATATATTTGTTTATTTAATTTATGAGATAACCAAGGGATCTGTACCAAATATTTGATTTCCTTTTCTCAGCACAGAGATCTGACACTACATTGATATGATTGCCTTTTATATATAAAAACAATATCTCACATTTAATTTATTACAACTTGCAGCGGCCTCATACAGATTATACATATAGACATAACACGAGGTTCATGCACTTGAGAAAAGTATCAGTAAATAGGATCTGTTACAAATGAATTGTATCACAAGCAATGTTTGTGAGCTTGAGATAAAAATTAATTTAATGTATCAAGCATTCAAAATTAATACAATGTGCTCTAAAATGATAATAAGAATATATTCAATCATCATAACTTATGATTATCATTCAAACAAACAGAAACTGTAGCTTAAAAAATGCACACCAGCTGCAGCTTTCGTCCAAGATCTTCTTTGATTTCAAACTATTTAGCTTTTCTCGGTTATTTTCCTTATGCCAGAAATTAGAATATACAGACCTGTAATAACGTTAACTTAATGATCTTTTATCAAACTTACTACATCAATAATCTCCTAACCTCATTTTTTAGCTGTATATACGTATAAAATTATTTCCGGTCTCCAGGTCCTCCTTCCAACAAAATAAATTTGCTTAATTATATTTTAACTACCCAATAACTTGCAGAATTGGTTCTTAAACTTGGAAAAGGAAATCGTTTTATTCTTTAAGATTTTATAAAATGTATTTTTAACCATTTTTAATGGGATATCCTTTTTAACCACAATTTTTTTTTAAGTTTAAACTCAGACCTTATATAATACTTCTAATTTTTTTTATCACCTTTTAAGTCTATTTCTTAGTACCAAAACTTAATTTTGAAATTTGAGATATTTTATTTTTAATTTAGAAGATAAAAACATATTTATCTAAATTCCAGAATTTAAAATATAATTAAGCCTTATAAAAATATAAATTATTACTCATTAAAATGATAAATATCAAAGTTTAGCAGATAAAAAAATGGATAAAGAGGAAAACTAAACGACAAGATTAGAGTTGGGATTTTAGGCATAAAGTTGTGAAGTTGAACGATGAGAACTTATCTAAAACCTAAAATTGGAACTAATTAGTTACTCTGCAAACATATATTGGTGTGTGATAGATAAAAATAGATAAATCAGAAAAAGAAAAACTGAAAACACGTTATTGCCATTTAAGGACAGAGTGGAAAGCCCCAAAATTGAATTAAATTACTGAAAAACAGAGGATGAAGAAGACGTACATTAAAGATGAGTTGCTTGTTGTCAGATTCCCAGGCCAAACCCCCCCTGAAATGTAGGAGCCAGACCAAGACTAGAACCACGTCAACAACGCCCAGAACATGAGTCACGATTGTGAAGGGAAAAGCAGGTACACCCAACGCCATAGTCTCTTCTCTTCTTTTGAATGGAAGATGAAACAAACCGTGTGGAAGTGAAAGAAACTGCAAACACTATATGAAGAAATCAGGAGCCTTCATCCTATTTGACCTTCTCATACCTCTTTAGATCTTTAAACATCATCCCATATATGCTCACCACGTGTCTCTATCTCTCTCCGCACCTTTTTTTTTTTTTTTTCTTTCTTTCCTTTTTTACATGAAATTTGTCACAAGTTTTTTATATACTTCACCTAATCACATTTTAAATTTTAAAAAATCATTATTAAAAAATTTAAAAATTTCATTTAATTTTTTATATTAAATTTAATATTTAATAATATTTTTTATTAACAATATTTTATAATATAATTAATAAAAAATATAATTTTAATATTTTTTATTTATTTTAATATTTAGTATTAATTTTTTATTGTCATAAAATTAATAAAAATTAAATTAATTAATTCATTTTAAAGACAAATTAATTAAATTTAAATATAATATTATAAAATAATTTAAAAAGTATAATAATAAATCATATATATATATATATAACTTTTTTTATAGTTTTTAAATAGATATTTATAATTTTTTATGCTTTAATCAAACAACGTCTACATATTTTCTTTATATTTTTAATAAAATAATATTTGTTTTTTAATTCAATTAAAATATATTATTTAATAAAAAAAATTATATAAATTAAATAAAATACAAGAAAATTAGATTTATTAAAAACATATGTGAGTGTTTATTTTAAAATATATAAAGAGTACCGGAGTTATTTTATTTAAATTATTAAAAATATAAGTATTGTTTTGAAACTATAATCAATATAATTGATAGAGCAAGTAAATATAATTTATTATTTTATAAATTTATCTTATAAATCATATAATTATATTTTTAATCAGTCCATAATATAAAATATTTTACATTTATATTATTTTATAAATTTATCTTATAAATCATATAATTATATTTTTTTATCGGTCAATAATATAAAATGCTTTACATTTATATACAAATGTTAATTTTTATTTTATATAACCTCTTTTAATTTACTTTGTTTTATTTATTTTTTAGTTAAATTATAATTTTGATATGCTTTAATTTTTTAATCCAGGGGTTTCTATATTTTTTTATGTGATTTATTTTTACATTTAAAAACAAATATAAAATGTTAATTATTATTAATATTATATTAATGTATAAAATTGTCTGGATAGAAAGAAATTATAAAATATCATTCTTTTTTTTAAGTTAAAGATAGGAGACTAGTTTAGTTGGGCCTCAAATCAATGTAAATCTTTGTCTATTTGTTTTTATCATTGATTATAGTCAGAGACAGAGACAGTGTTGTTTAAATTTTGTAAGAAACTAAAATATATATTTTATTTTAAATATTTAATTATTGTTTGAGATATTTAATTAATTTCGTATAAAAATATTTTTTCTTTTATTTTGTGTACAAACTAAAAAACTATTATTTTTCATTTATTTAAAATAAATATTACTTTCTAGCATATTCTTTTTAAGTTATTTATAATTTAAGATTATAAAATATAATAATATTTTAAAATTGAAAAAAATGCAATGCCTAAAATTATGAAACAATAAGGTATGAAAGCTAATTTAGAATAGTGTTCTTTTTCTTTTTATGGATGCACCGGTCAAGTTTTCAAATATTTTCTGAAAAAAAAAAAATCATTCGTAAGAAAATTATACTTTATAAAAAAATTTAATTAATTCATTTAAATATATTATCTTTTAAATTTTTTTATTTTTTCATTAAATTAATTTATATATTATTATTTATTTTAGAGGAAGGTGACATAAAAATGAGAAAAAAACTAATTTAAAAATAATAAATAATTAAATTAAAATTAAATATTCGGTTAATTATAATAATATTTATATAATTATTAATTAAATTTATATTAATTAAATATTTTTAAATTAATATATCATATTTTAATAATATATTTTAGTATATAATTATAAAAAAAATTATATTTTTGAAATTATTTGAAATTAAATAAATGAAATAATATCATATTAAAAATAAATACAAAATTATAAATTAAATTATTTATTTAATTTTTATAATCATTTTTATATATATCATATTTTATTAAAATGGTAATTAATTAATATATATTTATTTTAGTGCAATAAACTGGTTTACGAAAGTTCAAGAAAAATTTATATATATCTTATCCTTTATTTATTGAAATATTTTTAAGAACAAAAATTAAAAAATATATAAGAGCCATCGAGATCTTAATATTTTTGTTGTTAAATGAAGTATTAACAAAAATCTATTCATTCTCTTTAATTATCTAGAATTTATATTCTTATGAATATGTTAAAAGTCGGATAAAAAAATAATTTATATATATTTATATATTTTAATTTATTAATACATTTTTTTAAATAAAATCATTATATATTGAAATTAAAAATATATATATTACACAATAATAGACTATTAAACATAACACTAAATATAGACTATTAAATATAAAATTAAATATCCTCATTGTACGCATAATATTTAGTATTATAATCTATTAATTCTATGATAAAAATATTACTTAATGATGATATTGAGTTTTTGAAAAAAATAGTTTTTTTTTTAATTAAGAAGATAAATAGAGTATATTTTATTAAAATTAATTTTAAAATAAGAAAGTGGGGTAGAGGATGGTTTATTATTATTATTAATAGTGTGGTTGGTGTGGACACTCATGAACTTGGACAGCCATGCCAACCATGTACAAACTCATTCGGCTCAATCACCTCCTCCTTTACACATATAAATTAATAAAAATCACTAAAATAATTTACTTTTATTTTTTTATCAGTTCACAGTAGAAACTAAGACAGCGCGAAGAATAATATTAAATAATAACTCTCTTTTAAAGTTATATAAATATATATAATATTAGTAACTTTACATAAATTGTCGGTCAAATGATTAAATTTTAATTGTACGTTAACTTGAAAATTTGTTTATTTTTTAAAATTAAAAATATACCGATATAGGAAAATCTCTATTTTTTAGTAGAAAATTAAATTATTTTATATTAATGTAACTTCGTAGTTATGAGATTTTAATCTATAAGTCAATTCAAATTTTAAACTAATAATACATTAAAAGCTAGGGCAAATCTATCTTATGCTAATATTATGTTACTAGAATACAGCAATTCAAATTTCATTTGCTACAAATAATTTAATGAGTAATTAAATATAGAAATATTATGTTATTTGTAAAATATTTTATATTTAAGATAAATTAAGTTAGTCAATGACCTATCAAACTTAAAACGTTTAAGAAATTTTTAAAAATGGGATGCAAAAGTAAAACATGTTTAAGTTTATGGGCCAACGTTGTGAAATTATTAAAAAATTGTAGGGTTTATTGACCCAAATTTTATGGGCCAATTTTTGACCGGACAAACAAATTAGGCTTTAGTTATTGACCCAATAATAAACCAGAAAAACAAAAAACACTTTTGCTATTCACCCAGTTTTTACTTTTTTTGTTTATTTTTTCTGTACTCTAGCAATTTCAACTTTTTTTTCTATAAAAAAATATAAAATATTTATTTTGAATATCTAATTCAAAATAAAATAAAAAGTTCTTTTATTTCAGAGAGTCTGAATTGAAAGTTTAACTTATTCGAAATTTTAAATAGAGGACATGGACTATAATTTTTTGGAAATATATGTTTCTAATGTTTGCTTGCTTGTGATATTTGTTGTATAAAGAGCCAAATACATTGAAAATATTATTTGAAACATGTGAGAACACACTTTATTTGTAGTATATTGTATAAGTCCACCAAAATAAAACAAATGATATACTAAGATTAAAAAATTGAAAAAAAAGCATAAAATAATCTGACAACTATATTTTTATCAACTAGTATTAAACATACATCCTTTATTATTGTATCTAGCCAACTAAAAAATTATCTTCTAATATTTTTTAGAATTATTAATAAATGGAGCATTTAAATATTTTGTTTGAGTTTATTTGGTTGAATAAGCAGGAATAGGTTAATAAAGTGCACACCCCACTTCCAGATTCACCCAAGATTCGTCATCTTAGTATTCATAATATTTTGGTCATTTTTAGGAAGAAAAAAAAAAAAAAAGAGAAAAGAAAACAAATAAGCAATAACATAATCCAGGGAAGAAAACAAACCTAAATCGAAGCTAGGAACAAAATTCACAAGTAACGAGTTTTGTGCTTTCTCGCTCTCTCGGAAACAGACATTTCAAGGGCTTTCTTTTCAATTTTGGTAATCCTAAATCTTTGCTATAAACGTACCCCTTTTTCAGAAAAAAACAATAAAAAAAAACAGAGAGATTCATCTTTTTGTAGAGTTTGATTCTACCCTTTTGCTAATTAAATTATTGATATAGTTGCTGATCTTTGTCACTTTTGTTTAATTATGTTTGGTATTTGGTCTTTTGATTTATACAGTGCCTTAGTGACTTTAAGTATTTTATGACATTGGTTATGTTTTAAAAATTATATATATATATATATATTATGTTTATGTTTAACATAAACCATTCATTTAATTAATCATTTTATATTTATTTTATGTCTAAAATTAATATATAATCATTAATTGATTTTTATGTTTAAAACTAATTTTTCAAAATATTTTTAATTTAAAATATGCCCTTTTTAATAATATATATTTTAATATATAATTATAAAATATTTTTATTATAAAATTATTTTTCTATGATTAAATTAATAGAATAATAACATATTAAAAAACATATTAAATTATTTATTTGATTTTTATAATCATTTTTATATTAATATGTTATTAAAATAATGTAATTAAAATTACACACACGCACACAAAAGTATAACTTTTTATAACTTTTAAATTATACACATAAAAACAAATTCAAAAAATGATATTTTTCAAACAAAAATTGATATCCGTCTTTATTCTTATATAATAAAAAAAATAATTTATTTTTACTCATTTTCCTATCTATTCACTATATTAATATAGATAATAAACAAAGATAATCATATTTTTCATACCCTCACTAGCAAACAAACTTTTAAACCACATACTTTTTTATGAACAATAATTAATATAATTTAATATTTTAAAAATAAACAATGTTATTTGATATTTTAAAATAAATACCACCATTTAATATTTTAAAAGTAATTAATATCATTTAATATTTTTAAAGCAATTAATATCATTTTTAATATTTTAGATACTTTTAAATATCAATAGACTTTCACATAAAAAGTTGAATAAACTTATTGATAAAAAACTCAATTGAATAATATTATTAGATTTTATTATCTTTTTATTTTTAAACTATTATAATTGAAAATTTCACGATCTTTATTTATGTAAAAATATTAATTAAATACCTCACATATTTTTTTTATAAAATTTTAAGTATCCTTTAAAATATCTTAATCCAATACATCCCGACAATTAAATTTTTTAAGACAATTTTGTAACTTATTATAATTGGAATAGTTGTTATAATTGCCAAATTTATTTTCTTTCTTTCTCCAAAATTTCCTCATTAAAACAAACAATTTATAATTTCTAATGCTAATCTAGGAATTGTTCACTAATTATTAAATATATTTTCGTAAATTTTTAAACTCCTTTAAAAATTTCAATCCAGTACGTTCTTTTAATTAATTTATTTTCAGACATATTAAGTAAAACAATATATTAAAAAAATAAGATTATATGCTCCTCAAGTAAAACTTCATCAAACTACTACAACACACACCTTGTAGCTGGCAAACATAAATGCCACCATTACACTGAAAATTTATCTACCCATAAAAATAAACTGAAGATTCCCACATTGAATAGGTAGAACTTATTTCATTACTTCATCAAATCTCAAAAGACTTTCAATTCTGATTTTGCATCTCTCTCATTGCCTGATTTTTGTGAAAGTGGGGCACTAATCTTTAATTCTTTGTTTGTAGCCTTTTGGTTCTCCATGACTCCACCATGTCCATTGTCTAAAGCACACAACTACTACCCAATCATTTTTTCACGCCGTGCTCGCTGATCCACCATGAGTGTGGTCACTTTTGAAAAGGTAATTCAGTTTTTGTTCAGGAATTAAACTCCACGGAATCGTAAAGTGAGAATTATTTTTATTTATGTATAATGTATTTTGATATTATCACTAATTGATGTGAGATTTTGTTTCTTTTAATATTATTATGATGCAAAACCTAAAGTCCGGGCCGAGGGAGAAAAGTTGTAGCCCTCAGTGTGGTGGGAAGAAAGTGAGGTTTGTAGAGTGATGCTTTGGACAGGTAACCAAGAAAAGAAATTGAGGATGAAGGATAAGGAGGGTTTGAAACAAGTGGTTTGGTGTCATGAACGAAAACCACCCATGAGGGATGAACAAGGGTTGGTTTCAATCTGAGGAACTAGTTAATCTGAAAGAATAAAAATTCAAATTAGTTTCAATAGATTTTAACGTTACAAATCAATGACCTAGGTTTGAATGTCTGATTTGATTTGAGTAAGTGGATCTGGATCAAAATGTAGAAAAGAAAATCAAGGTTAATTTGCACTATTCATTAATTGAATCAACCCAAATTTATAAAACTTTTGTATATGTTACACTTTTTTTTATATGCTGTGCAATTCTACAATTGACTTTTGAGATTGTTGATAAATAAGTAGATATCCCCTCCCAAATTGATTTTTCTACAGTATTAAAAGTTAGGAATTGAAACCCCTTCATTTCAATTTATATGGAGCCACGTGGTCAATGGTGTTATTTCTCATTCTATCTCCATTTGCCTTTGGACTGAAGGTCAATTATTTTATATACTTTTTATTTTTTACACATATCATCTTTTTTAATTAACCTATTTTATTTGTAGATCTAAATGTAATTTTTGGAAACTGAACCACCCGATCCGTTGGATTAATAACTGATTACAAATTGATATATTATTTTTAAATAATTATATTTTAATTAAAATAGTACGAAATTAATTAAATTTTTGGAGAGAATCTTGGTAATTTTTTTTAAATTATATTTTTAATATATTTTTATTTATAAAATATATAATATGTTTTAATTTTTTATTTTTGATTAAGGTCAATTTTAAATAATAATTATTTTATTATATTTTTATTATATTTTAATAATTATTATTTTTTTATTTTTTTAATATATTTTATTATAACAATAATAATAATAATTATTATTTATAATAAAAAGATTATTATTTATAATTTTATTATATTATAAATATATTATTTTATTAAATCTGATTATACTGCATCTTTAAATTTTAAATTCATGTCTTTAGGATGGTATAATTTTAAAAACATTATTTGAATTATTCTCATGTGGGAGGCATCTAAACTTAAATTAAATTTAATGATTTGTTTAAATTTTCTTTTCAATGATATACATCAAATAATGTGTGTTTTTTTTAAGGGTTCTTCTGCATTATGGATGACTTGTTTCTTGCTTATTATTTAACACATATGGGAAAAATAATTTCAATACGTTAAGGATCTGTTTGGGCGCCGACACTGGCATGTGCCAAGTTTCCTTTGCTTTGTTCGATGAAATTAGTTTTTTTTTATTAAATTATATTTGAGTTTATTTGCATATTGCCTCTTAAAGAGCGCTGGAGAGGCTTAACAGTGGTGGGGACCAAACAAACCTCTTTGCATTTACAACTCATTTTCTGAGTAAACTTTCTTCATCATGCCCTTACAGCAGAAAGGTGCTACATTTAAGTCTTGGTGGGTTGTTGCTTATCAAAGACAGCACACAGGCACATGGACACTGCTCTCCCCTTTTGCTTACCCATTTGGAAAATTAGATTTCTTGGTAAATTTGGTCAAATTAAATGTCACTCTCATGTGCTCATTCCAATTTAAATGTTGGATTGGAACAATTACAATCCAGCTGCTGATTTCAACCCCTTTTCCTAACTCCATTTCTCATTTTTTTCTTTTTCAATTAATTGCAAGTTTTCTCGAACCCCCGTTTCATCATAAATGCGAGTTTGGCAACAGAGTAACGGTAGTTGTATTCTTGGAAATTTAATCCGAGCCAAATATTAAATGCAAAAAAAAAAAAAAGGTTCACCGTGATTAACACTCGTATGTTTGGTCAATGTTGTCATTTCAATTTTCCTCACTCTTTTGTCCTTGCAATAAAGCAAAAAGTAGACCATAATGGGATTCAGCTGTGTTCCTTTTACATTATCTTTGGTGCATGAAGACATGCTGAGAAGCTTCTAATATCAGTTTTGTTTTCTCCATCGCTTGTTTGTTAGTTTTCTACTAGTGCAAGTTCAGTATCTCAGGAAATTAGGAGGTACTTCACAACTCACAAGATTCTTGGCTTTCTGAACATCCTGACACTTCATTCTGGTCATTAACTGCGTTTGCCACACATAATAAACACCACAGATTCAAATCAACAAATAGCATTTCCTCACCAATGAAGTGCCGCTCATAAGAGGCTTGTTCTGCATCTACAACCCTGCAACGGCCATATTTATCAGCCTGAAACATGTTCAAGTCATGGAGCAAGAAGAACAAGATCAAAGCTGTGTTCAAATTGGAATTTCAGGCAACTCAGGTAAGTGAGACAAACACAAAAACGAAATCCTTATAGTTTAGTCACAACTAAGTCTAGAAATAGGGTCTGGCTTAGCTGTTATAATTGCACATGTTCTTTTTTTTTTGAAATTTGAAATTTAAACAGTATGGTTTATATGTTTTTAGTTAAGAGAGTTTGACAGTTTGTGTAGTGAGGGGGGATATCATATACAAAAACTGATTTAAGATTCTGCAGGCAGTGTTTTTGACCTTGTTCTATGGCTCCTTTTTTATCAGGTGCCAAAGATGAAAAAGAATTCATTAATGGTATCTTTGGTGCCAGATGATGTCGGTAAGACAACAGTGAAACTAGAGAAAACTGCTGTTCAAGATGGGACCTGCTCGTGGGAGAATCCAATTTTTGAACCAGTAAAACTTGTTAGGGATGCAAAGTCAGGAAAAATTCATGAGAAAATCTACCATTTCATTGTTTCAACCGTAAGAAGTAGTTGTAGTTTCACACTCACCGTCCTTTACTCAAGTAGGATGTTGGTTGGAAAGTCTAATCTTTGTGTGGGCTCTTGCAGGGATCTTCAAAATCTGGCTTTCTTGGTGAAGCCTCAATTGATTTAGCTGATTTTGTTGCAGAAATTGAGCCAATGACTATTTCTCTACCCTTAAAGTTTGCCAATTCAGGCATAGTTTTACACGTTAGTGCTCTTCATCTTCCTCCCTCCCTTGCTTCTTGTCTCATTCCCAAGTCTCAATAAGCACTTTCACATCATTCATCTCTTATTCTTCAGCACGTCTTAAGAATTTGAGATTTGTGGGAGCTTCGTTTCCTTCATACTATAAAATAAAATAAAATATTACAAACACCATTCAATTCTTAATTGCTCACATAAGAATTGTTGAGACAGGTGACTATTCAGAACGTGGAAGGATATACTGCTGAAAGGTGAAAATGAACCATAAAACCCCCTTTATTTAAAACCTTACAATGTTCCCTATTTTTCTGTTTGATCCATTTCTCTCCAATATGCTCTCTCAACCTTATACTTTAATTCCAGAAATGGGGAAGATAATGGAGCTGAGGAACTTTGCAGTGATAGAAGCTTGAAACACCAGCTGAGCTATGGCAGTACGGATCATGAAAGTTATAATGTTGATGAAGTAAGGTCTTATAAGATACCTTTATATTAGTAACAATTCTGTTTAATGAAGTTGAAACTTTCCTAAATAGAAACTTCTGAAGAGGACAAGTTATGCTAACTTTCTAAGAAATAACTCATTTACAGAAATTACAGTTACGTTACATTTTATTGTTATCTTATAGAATGAGCACATGGCGAGGACCAGATCTGAGTATTCTGAACAAGATGCATCTAATGGCATCAGTCCTAGGGTAGCTTCATGGGAGGATCCTCATAGCTTCAGACAAAATTCAATTCCATCAAAAGGAACTGTTAAGGCCACTGCAACAGAAGTCCAAGTGCATAAGAGGTCAAACACAAACTGGTCAATCGGTTCAGCATCAGATGGAAGTTTAGGTGACTGGACTAACAGCCTGGAAGACAATCCTCCCAGAGAAAGATTACAAGAGCCTTCAAATAATTCCACTGAAGGCCTCAAGAATGAAATTGCTGCTTTGAAGAGGCAGGCAGAGGTGTCAGAAATAGAGTTACAATCACTTCGAAAGCAGGTAGAAAAAGAAAGCAGTAGGGGACAGAATTTGTCAAGACAAATAATCAGCCTCAGAGAGGAGAGAGATTTGCTCAAAACCAAATATGAACAACTCAAGTCCCAGCAGAATTTCAATAGTGAGACCAAAGCCTCCAAAACCCTGAAGTCTGAGATTGAAGATACTAAGCTTCAGTTAGAGGCAATAAAGGAAGAGCTTGTTTATGAAAAAGAATTGAGTGTCAATCTTCAGTTGCAACTGCGGAAGACACAAAACTCAAACTCTGAATTACTTTTGGCTGTGACAGACCTTGAAACAATGCTGGAACAAAAGGATAAGGAAATATTGGATCTATCTACCAATTTAAAATCTCAGACGACTACTAAAGAGCGTAATGAAGGCATAGAATTTGATCTCTTGCGGCTAAAAATTGCTGACCAGGATGATGAAATAAACAATTACTATAAGCAACGCGAAGAGCTAAGTGAGCAAATAAAAGAACTTACCTTGGAGTATGATCTACTTAAGAAGGAAAATGTGGATATCTCTCTGAGGTTAAAGCAAGACGAAGCACGCCACATCATGTTACAAAATGAACATTCATCTTCTTTAGTTACAATACAAAAACTTGAATCCCAAGTAGAGACATTAGAAGAAAAGCTAAAGGTGCAGGAAGATGAATTTTCAGCATCTCTGATCTGCATCAAGGAACTTGAAAATGAAGTTAAGTCTATGGAAAATGAATTGAAAATACAGGCAGAGAAATTTGAAGAAGGTCTGCATGCATTGCAGTGTGCAAAAACTGAGCAGGAAGAAAGGGCCATTCAGGCAGAAGAAACCTTGAGAAAGACTAGACACAATAATGCTGTTGCATCTGAGCATTTTCAGGAGGAATATAGATTGCTTTCTGTTGAAATGGCACAAAAAGTTGAGGAGAATGAAAAGATGGCTGTGAAAGCAGTTGCAGAAGCTGACGAGTTGCGGCACCAGAACAAACTTATAGAAGAAATGCTCCATAAATGCAATCAAGAGCTCAGGCTTATCACAGATCAGAATGAATTGAAAATGAAACAGCTTTTGGACCAAATAGACTTGAAAGCAAAAACAATAGAACAGATATCACAAGAACTACAAGTTAAGTGTAAACAACTTGAGGATGCACAAAGAAACAATGATGAAAAGGATGCTTCATTTTCCAAGCAAATTCAAATGCTCAGATCTCAAATCAAAATGTTGATGTCAGATGGTGCATTGTCTGAAAAAGAAAGGGAAGATGCATTTAGAGTTCAGAAAGGACAACCACTTATGACGTCAAACGACGGGGAGATGATACTTGGCACTCTACTGTCGGAAGTAGAAACCTTTAAGAACCAGCATATTGAAATAAAGCACAGTTTGCACAAAGAACAAGTGGAGAAAGAAAATATGAAGAAACAGATATCTCAATTAGAAGGAGAGCTGAAGAAGAAGGAAACAGAGTTAAGTACTATGGAAAAGAAGCTCAAGAATAACAAAGGACGAGCTGCAGTTACACATATGAATTTGACTTCAAGAGACAGTGAATGTGCGGCTAAGGCACATACCAAGAAGTCAAAATCCGAAATGCATAAGGTAATTGTTCTTCTGCCAAATTTAAAATCAGAGATGAAGAACATAAATATTAACTGATGCATATTAGGACTGGCTACATGGATAAATATGAAAAATTACAAATAATGAAAAGAAATATGTCTACAATCTTTCCAACTGAGTGATGATGGTGATGCGGCATGGATAAATATTCCTTTTGTGTGTATTCCAGATAATCTGTAATTTGTTTGTCACTTGTGCAACTAGAAAACAGTTAGCAGATTTTCAAATACCATATTCCTGAAACCCAATTCTTAAGGAACTCACAATGACTAGTGTATGTATGAAAGCCGGCAAATTTAAAACTTGTTATGGTGCTTTAGTAATGAAAAAGTGATTTCTTTTTTTCTGGTCCATGAAGCGCAATACACCTATCTATAACAAGGCAAATAAGCAGAAAATCTCAACTTTAAAATAATGCTAAAAGAAATTGCCTGATCAAGGTTTAAAAATCTTTAGTATTTCTTTTCGTACACTAGTTCTCAGTTCTCTTGAATAACTCATACTATTGTTACATTGGTAACATGGAAAGGGAAAGGATGCTGCAAGCAAGTCTGAAGCAGGAACAGTAGGCAAGTCAGCTGAGAGCAAAGTTTGTCAAGCTCCTGTAAGGTATAGTCAAATTCTTTTCTCCTGAACATAATCATGAGCATTAGTACCATTCTTTGTCTTTCTTATATGAAATTGGTGCCACAGATGGCAAACTTTTCATGTTGCTCATCTCATCCAAGAACTAACTTCTATTATTTTGTCTCCTTATCTGACAGTGAGGATGAGGGCCATACAAATGAATTGTTGACTGAAGTTTCACTACTAAAGGAAAAGAACAAGACTATGGAGATTGAGCTGAAAGACATGGAAGAAAGATATTCAGAGATTAGTCTGAAATTTGCTGAGGTAGAGGGAGAAAGACAACAGCTTGTAATGGCTCTACGCAATCTCAAGAATGGGAAGAAGAACTAGACCTCTCTGCAGGTGTTGTAGTGTCTGATAGAAAAGATACATGAGTGGTGAAGGAGAAAGGCTATCATCATCACCAGAATGGAGTTACCAAAGTACATTTCAGTTTGCAACTAAATTGTGACCTATCTGTACATCTACTAACAGCTTTACTCATCCAAATTTTGTTGGGGCACTTGGTCCATCCAATACTCATGTTGTATGATACATTGGCAAGTGAGCCAGGGGCACGATGCTGTAGCCTCATATAGGCCTTGTTGCAGCCAATGATTTATCATTAGGTTGACATTTTTTGCATCCAATGTAACATATACATAAAATCTATGATGCTCAGAAAAAATGTTTTGATTGAGAGTGCGGTGGAATAAAGAAAAAACAGGTTAATGAATAAGCAAAGGTATGGTTTACCTTCATTAGTGGTTTTCAAAAGCAATAACTTGAACTAGGAGTTCCTATTATAATGCTTGTTATTGCAACAGTATGTTATCACATATAGCAGCAATCTAGTTAGGAAGTTGGAGAAAGCGAATGAGTGGGGACAAGGAATTTTTCCAACTTTGTTGTCTTCTGTTTATTCTTTTCTTCACCTTGCTTATTATCTCAATAACAAGTTCCTTAAAACAAGTAGACGAATTTAGATGGAACTACTCTTGATGATTCACACCATGGATTGTAGCCTCATTTCTTACCCATCCTCAGTTTTGTAGCCCCAACAATGGGAAAAGAGACCCACCTTTTAGACACGCTTCCAATTGCTATTTAATGACGCGATCATGCGTCTAGATTGTGGAGTGTACGAACGTCATAAATAGGATTTTTTTTTTTACCATGTTTCCTTCCTTTTAAATTTTGACATTGGACATATGTTTTTTTTTCTTATTCTAATTTTCATTTTTTAAGAAAAAAAGAGAGAAAACTGTATAATTTATTGTGATAACTAACAACAACAGAGGGAGAAAAGCCTTAAAATATGAGTTATCTTCTAGAGTTTTTTTATTAATAAAAATATTATTTTGAAATATGAGTTTCTTGAAATTTAAAAAAGTTTCTTATTTAATACTAAGAAATTCATGTTTGCATATTATTTTAATATTAATTATATAAATATGACTTCTTAAAATTGAATAGATTATTAATAAAGAATCCCTGTAAGAAGTTTTTATTGGAGACGTTCATGAAATTGTGTCATGATATGTGAAGACCCGAATGGACTTTTCCTTTTTTGCCCAATGGTTTTCAAACATTCGGAGCATTCACACTAAAAAGGCAACATTTTCTAACTGCAAAACTATTATAAAATAACTGTTATATTCTCCTAATTAATTCTTGAACACAACTTTGTGACCCACCGTCACATTTGGCATAAACAACAACAGTTGTTGTTGACATTTATGTCCATCCATTCTAAGTAACCACAATAAACAATAGAAAAAGAACCAACAAGACACTTGTATTTACTTTTTCTTTGGTGTGCCTAGTATTTACGTACCATATCCAAAGTTGACGAATATCAAAATTATTTGCCTCTATCAGTTGCCAAGAAATAATACGGAAAATGATTACTTGTATTGAGCTTTTCTTTCTTTCCACAGAGTCAGGGACACTTGTACAGTGTCATCAGTGAAAATGACAGTTTATGTGTGTAGATACTCACATTTGGATAAACCATTGTCGTCATTCGGAGGGGACCAAAAATTGCCTTATCAACATCGTCATCAGCATGTTCAAGACGACAACATGAGTTTTGATTGAGTCCACGTACGCAAAACTACTCAACACGTGTCAAATGATAGAGACATGTCGGTTATGTCAACGTGTCTCCAGTTATCAGATGCCACGTGTGCCATATAATGTCATGGCCTTCTCTATATAACATATATTCCTTGGTGGTAATTATCATTATCGTTCAAGCAGTTACTTTTCTTCTGTTTACAATCATGGATTCAAGAGTAGTTCAAAATGAAGTGCATGAGAATGATGAACACTACTCCTACATTGTTCCCTCAGAGCAAGGTATATATGAATCACATTTGGAAATAAGTTGTATTATATTTAAAGGCATCTTCATATGATGTTTTGCTTTTCTTGGAATGAATAATTCTCTTTGTTTCTTCTTGTACTTCCAATTTTTGGATGTAGTGACACATGGTGAAGAAGAGCAGCACTTTGATCATGAGAAGAAGTCTGTTTTGAATAAAGTCAAGGCAAAGGCTATGAAAATCAAGGACAGTATTAAGAAGCATGGCCATCAAGTCCTTGATGGTAGCCGTGAGTATAACAATGAAGATCAGCACCATCTTGATGATCATGACATAGATGAGGATAAAGACATGGATGAAGACACACAAGTTCATGAAACACCAAGTATGTTATATTCTAAATCATCTGCAATTAGATATGCTAGAACAGAAGAACAGTGATCCATAAAGTGAAATTGTCTGTGCTTGAATATATTTTTAGTACAGTACATATGGCTAAATTTTCTTTTTAGTCTTTTTTTTTTTTTAAAAATAGTCTCCTACTACGTAATAATTATATATCTAATAATATCATATAAGTGACTATTCTACTGATAAAAGTGACCATGCTAAAGTTTATATGAAGATAAAAAAAGTTGAAGGAATAAAATCAAACTCAGTAAATAGTTTATGCAGCATATATAAGAATTTTACAGTTAACTGTTAAAAAATCATCGTCAAGTTAATCATCATGTTAAATTGTTACTATTTTACTGTAACAATTCAAACTTAAAAGTCATATTACTATAATTTTAATTAGTTGATGTATAAAATTTTTACCCTAACATTATACAAAAATTGAACTCAATACAAAAATAAAAAAACATATTTTACCTTTACATGTCTTTTAGTCGAGATACTCCTCTAATTTTTCTGTCTTCTTCAAAATAGAAGGAATTCATTAACTTTTTCTAAGGATTGAAACCTTTCAACAAGGCAAATTTAAAAATAAATATAAATATGATTGAAGTTGAGTATGACTATATGCTTATTGTTCTGCAGTTCATGAAAATGAAGATGTTAAAACTGCTACACCCACATGTGAGCAAGTCGAAACTTTAGGGAAGTCAGGAATTGATTTTGGAAGTACAACAGTTATGGCAGATGAAGCTCATCACGATTCACTACCTTCAACCACTGACATTGATCAAAACATAGCCACTGAGCCAGCCAACACATTTTCTGCAGAAAAGAAAAGAGGACTTCCAAAGGACAATTTGGATTGGTCAATAGGCTTGGAGGAAGAACCTTACTCTCCCAGAAATAGGCCTGAGGCATATACTCCTCCCAAATATCAAACCAAAGTCACGGATCCAACTGAAGTAGGTAAGTAAGACTATGGAACAATGTTGTAGAACTCAATCTTTTGCTAAGGATTTTGCATTATGCATTAATATTAGTGTAACCATTCACAAGATTTGATGGTTAAATTGATAAAATTGGATTTGACTCCTCATTTATGTTGGCTGGAAAATTATTGAAGCAAATATTTCCAATTTAATATTTTACTATATACATGCATGTGTTTTTACCACTGTTGTAATTCCGTGATTAATTTCATAGATTTGAAGGGGTACTTACTGGGAGTTGAATTATTTTACTGTCAATTCAACAGTATCATAATCTTTCTACCCTCAATTTGGATGATATTGTCCATGGACTAAGATTTTGATGTGTGATGGCTAACAGTAAAAGAAGAAACGGAAATCACACCAGTCGAGGAATCTTTTGCGAGAATGAATGTGCAGGATGAGCCAAAATCTACTCCAGAGCTAAACGTCCAGCCAACTATTGCTGATTCTGAATACCCTCATGTTGGAAACCATGATCATTTAGTGCCACACCTTTCTGCTGAAATGAAAACTCAGTATCCTTCCTCTGAATGTCATAAGCAGTTCACTCAGGGAACGATATCCCCAAGTATTAACAGTAACATGGAAAATGTCACAGACAGTGGACAAACTTTCAACACCATGACAATCACAGCTGAAGAACACTCTTGCTATGAAGAAAACACTGATAAAGTTGTCTCTCCTAAAGATGTAATAGCTTCTGGGGTAGGTTCAGATGAGAAAGATGACATAAAGGACAAGGTGGTAACAAATGAAGAGCAGCAAAAAAGTGGGGATGTTTCTAACATGTTTGGCTCAACTGCCCTATATGGGAAGAACATTGCTCACTCTCTGACAGAGAAATTAGCTCCAGTTTATGAGAAGGTTGCAGGGGTAGGAAGTGCAGTGAAGTCCAAAGTGTCTGGAACTAGCACCGGTGGTGTTGAAACTGAGACAAAAAATGAGGTTAAAGAACAAGACACAGGGGTTTCTGTGAAGGACTATTTGGCTGAGAAGCTAAGGCCTGGTGAAGAGGACAAGGCACTTTCTGAGGTAATTTCTGAAGCTTTATATAAGAGGAAGGAAGAACCAGTGAAAAATGAGCATCACTTGGATGATGAGGATGAGAAAATATGTGAAGAGAGTTGTGTGCATTCAGGAAAAGGTGTGGTTGAAAAGCTTAAGGGTGTTGTTGGTTCATGGTTTGGCAAATCTGAGGGAAAAGGTGAATGAGGTTTCTATTGCTAAGTAGATTTTGCAAAATGGTGTTATGTATAGCTCTGATTTTGTGTTTACCGTTGTTTATGGTTGTGCAGGAGGTGAAGATTTATCCAAGAACACAAATTCTGGTGCAGAATTGGAACAGGTTAACCAAGTTGTTGATGAAAACAAGAGTAGTCCAATTGAAGAACAAGGGACTAGCTAAATATCTTCATGCATGTTGGATAATACATACGTGTAGTTCTTTCCTTACTTTGAATGTGGTTGAATCAATGTGTAAGTATTAATATGTTTGTGTCGATGTCGAATTTACACTGATATTGTTGTGCTGGAACAAAGTACAAGACTTCTTTATTACAAGTGACTGCAAAATTGTATTGTACTTATGCTCAATAGGCTATGATGCATATTTTCTGTTTCCATTTCCATATTTTGTGTGTTTATGATTTTTTCTCTTAGCATCTTCAATAATAAGTACAAATCTATTGTATTTTTCTTCGAAACACGATCCTCTATGACCAATAGAAAAAATTCATTATTAGTAAAGAATTATTAAACAAAGTTATCACATAGAAATTGTTGAGTTTATTTTAATTATATTATATAATTATTTGATTATATTGGAATAGTCCTTATCATGTATTTACATTTTAAATAGTTATGTAAATATTGATTGATACTTCAGAAAAATAGTGGCTCATAATTAATTAATATTTATTTTATAAGTTCTTACTTTTACAATTTAATACATGTTTAGTACTACATTATTTTGTATATTAGGGGAAGACCATAACTTAAAAAGCTTGATTAGTGATTTCTTAAAAGTAAAAAAAGGTAACAAAATAGTTTTTTTCAGGGTACAAAATAGTGTAGTTTTTTAATTTAATAATGATTTTAGAGAATTGAAAACTTTGTAGTTATAATTTCAGTCTTATGAACAACATATTTCTTTTATTGAGTCTGTTACGATGTTAAAGGTGTGTAGTAAAAAAGTCTTTTTGTTGGCAATTTTAATAAAGGTTTTACACAATCCTAAAATTTCATTTAAATAACGGATTAGCAAGGTTGTAAAATTTAAAATTTAGATTACTTCAATTTTTTTAAAAGGTTTAAAATTGAAAAAGGAATTTGTTAGATAGGCTTAGAAATGAAATAAAGAAGAAATAATTAGTAAAAATAAATATAAATGATAACAATAAATAAAAAAAATTATGTATAGAGAAGTGTAATTTTTTCCTACCTTAAAAATAATGGAAAAAATAGTAAAATATAATGCTATATGATTTTTTTTATATTAATCGATTATTTTATTTTATTATCTTTAAACATAGAATTATTATTTGTTAGAAATATTATAAAAATATAATTTATAAGAAATTTAAAATTTTAAAGAATTTTTGTTATGTTTCTCGCTGATTAAATATTGTTTTTTATTAAATTTCACGAAATTAACTTATCTATTTATTATTTTATAAAAAATATTAAAAAATTATGACGGTTACTTCTTGCATCTTTATAATTTTTCTCTACACCCTTATAATTAAATTAAATTCTATTTTACCTTTATGAGAATGAGAAAATTGGATTTTTTTTTAAATATATTTTGGAAAGTGTTTTATAAAAATATAATTTTAGAATTGATTTTCTAGAAATATAGTACGGAACTCATTTTTCAAAATATATTTCCAAAATTGATTTTCTGGAAATATATTTCAGAATGCGCTTCTCATAATTAATTTTATAAAAATATATTCTAGAAAGTGCGTTATGAATTGTATTTCGAAAAATCAATTCCAAAAATATATTTTAGAACACACTTTTTGGAATATATTTATGAAATTGATTTTTAGGAAATGTTTAATGTTCCAAAATACATTTTCATAATTGATTTTCTGAAAATGCATTATGGATTTATCTTTTCATAATTGATTTTCGGACATACGTCTCACTCTCCGTAACAATCTTTTAGAATGAGTGTTATGTGTTTCCAAAAATATATTTTGGATTGAGTGTTTTAAAATTCAACATAATTCTTGTGATACTATTTTAAAATAAACAATTTGAATCTATTTGTAAAATTTAAATATAAAAATATAATTCATATATAATATTAATAATTACTTACTGTTAATTATTAGAAAATGCTTTTAATGGAAGTGATAGTATAAAGAAAATCAAATAACTAAAGGATAAAGGTGGTAAAAGATGAAAGTACAAAAATTGTACACAAATAAAAGAAATTAAGATAAAAAATAAATTATGAGAAAAATATTTTAAATATTTAACTTTTATTATAGAGTTGTACAAAATCATTTACCATATTTTGAGCCCAAATCCATTATTCTAGTAGAAAAGCCCAAACTCAATTGAATTTTAAATTAACGTTAATGAAACGGCGCGTCAAGTGTATACGTTTATTTTTCCTTGCTCCACCGTGTTAGGGTTTTGCAGCGTCGCCATTTTTGTTTTCTTAATCCATCATTTCACACTTCACTGGCACCACCCACAATGAATTAGGGCAACATATGATCCCTTTCCTTGACACCCCCAACATTGTTTCGACCAATACTTCAAAATACCTTCAACCACGGTACGCTGTTTTGTCCCTTCACGTTTTTCTTGTTATTCTTCTAGACTCTATCCATTTCACGGAACTTGATTTTCGATTCGATGGATATCCATCAACACGTTACCACACTGGGATTCTGGAAGCTTCCACAAGGAAACTCCATTCTACCATTGGCCAAATCGCGGTTATTGTTGATTTGTCAGAGATGATGGGTTCGAACTCGAACCATGAATTCAATAATCGTTTTAGGTCCAAAGATGGTCCACAAAATTCCCCATTCTTTGATTATTTTGCGGAGATTATGTAGCCATCGGTTTGATGGTGATGGCTTTGAATGCATTGAGGAGCCTTTGAAAAAACTAGGATTAGATTGTGATTCTGCTGTGGATTTAAGACTCCGTTTAAACGAGGATTGCGGTTATAACCAAAAGCAGTTTTCACTTAGAAAAGGGTTCTTAGAAAATGTTAAGTTAGATGCTAAGAGGGTCCTTGATGTTCTCCGGCAAGACGGTCCCGGTCTTGACGCGAGGTTGGTTTTGGGTGAGTTGCATGTTAGGCCATCAGGGCTTCTTGTGAGGGAGGTTCTCTTAGGAATTTTGAAGAACATAAATTGTGAGAATAAAACTAGGTGCGCAAAGCTGGCATACAAGTTTTTTGTTTGGTGTAGTCAGCAAGAGGGTTATCGGCACACTGCGAATGCATATCACTTAGTTATGAACATATATGCTGAGTGTGAGGAGTTTAAGGCATTGTGGAGATTGGTTGATGAGATGATTGAGAAAGGCCTTCCGGCTACAGCTCGAACTTTCAATATCTTGATACGAACTTGTGGTGAGGCGGGATTAGCTAAGAAATTGGTGGAGAGGTTCATAAAATCAAAGACGTTTAACTTTAGGCCTTTTATGCACTCGTACAATGCAATCCTACATGGTCTTCTTGTTTTAAACCAGTACAAGTTGATTGAGTGGGTTTATCAGCAGATGTTACTTGATGGATATTCTTCAGATATTTTAACTTATAATATTATCATGTATGCCAAGTACAGACTTGGAAAGTTGGATCAGTTCCACAGATTGTTTGATGAGATGGGTAGAAATGGATTTTCTCCAGATTTTCATACCTTTAATATTCTTCTTCATGTTCTTGGGAAAGGGGACAAACCGCTTGCAGCTCTCAATATTTTAAATCACATGAGAGAAATGGGTATAGATCCAACTGTGCTTCATTTCACTACATTAATAGATGGACTCAGCAGAGCTGGGAATCTGGATGCTTGCAAGTATTTTTTTGATGAAATGATAAAGAATGGATGTATGCCAGATGTGGTGGCTTACACTGTAATGATAACAGGATATGTAGTGGCTGGTGAGCTCGAGAAAGCCCTGGAAATGTATGAAGATATGATTTCTAGAGAACAAATTCCAAATGTTTTTACATACAATTCCATTATTCGGGGATTATGCATGGCAGGAAAATTTGATGAAGCATGCTCAATGCTCACGGAAATGGAAACCAAAGGTTGTAGTCCAAACTCCGTTGTCTATAATACTTTAGTGAGTAGTTTACGTAATGCAGGAAAGACTGCTGCTGCTCATGAAGTGATAAGACAGATGACAGAGAGGGGGAAGTATTCCCACGTATATTCAAGATACAAAGGGTATAACTGACACAACAACTTTTGATTTGGTTAACTGAGGTCCATGATCTGCTGTTCATCTGATTAGAAGCTGGATAACTGAAGTATGTATCCCCCCCTCCCCTAATATATATATATATATATATATATATATATATATATATATATATATATATTTCTTCACTTATTTCTACACTCAATAACTGACATGTGAACCTATATGCCATTTTTTCATAACATGATTAGTATTTCTTGTTTATCATTTTAAGCTATGCTTCTTTTGCTTCATATTGCCTGCATTTGTCAAAGAGCTTATTTATCAGGAATAAGGTTCTTAAATTACATTGTTTCTAGTTAGTGTACACATCATGTACTTTTGGTAGTAACTTTGAGCTTAAGTAATTTAAATTATAACTGGTGTTATGTAACTAGTTCTCTGGATTTTGTTGTTACTACTTAAAACTCGTAAAGTGTATAAAGCATTTTTAATCCGGATGCTGGGCAATTGATTAATTAATTAAATACACTGTTTTCTCTTCAGTTTTTTGGAAGGAATATATTTACCCCCATATCCCCTGAAAATGGAAGAAATAAATGGTGTAATTGTATTAGATTTTTAAGCCATCTTCCTGCTTGTTCGAATTTATCACTTGCAATGTTAACAGTGTTCTGTTCAGGTAATGTCGTACATATATAGTTTATAATAAGATTGTTTTCTGTAGGAGAAAAAAAGACTTTGCATTGACTGTGTAAAATAGTTTTACATTGTCACGTAGTTACAATCTAACCTGAATAGCAAGTTTGTTGACTTTTGCAATAATTAATTACTTTAAAAATCTTAACAATGCTGGTAATTTGTGATTGGATGGCAATATAAAAATCTCTTGCACTATCAGGGTATGACCATAGAACTCTTTCCATAATAAATGATCGATCACATATTTAATTATTCTGCCAATCCTCTTCTTCTTTTGATTATTGAATGTGTTATTATTTTCACTCAATGTCATTGATTATTGTTTTATATAAGCTGAAATTGATATCTTTCATTCTTGATTTTGAGTTTCATTTATTATTTAGAATTAAATTCTCATTTTAATTTTTGAGGTGAAGACTAATTTTTGTGGTTGGAAGTTTCACAAATCCAGATCAAGCAACAACAGCTTAAAATGTTGCCAATAGTCAGAGATGCAGTAATTATTTAAGTTGATTTCCACATACATGCTTAAGTTGGTTGCTTTTCTGTGGCTTTAAAAACAACCATTCAGTTTGCTGCCACATTCCACATGAAGACTGGAAATCTTATCCTCTTTTATTGTCAGGTTTATTTTTATGGTTCATTTTTTGGCTTGATATTTTGTTTTCATATATGATAGGTATAGTCTGTCATTATGTAGGATGTCGTCATGCAATAATGCAATCTTCACCATGCTGGCGATCTTTTTATTGCAAATGCCTATACTGCTGTTAGACATGTTAAAGTTTATAACATTTTAGGAGATAAAGGCATTTCCAATAGAAGTAACTCAGGAGTTGTTTCTGATATTGAAAAATAATATCATGTGATTTGTGTTTCTTATTGTGCCACTTCATCGGCAATTAGCTTATACTCAAATTTGTTCCAATTTTCAAGTCTTTGCCCCAAATTGTTGTTTTTTACTATAAAAGGAACATTTTTTTAATCTCAACAAATTATTTCTTATGTAAGAAACAAATTTTAACTTAAAAGAAACGAGTGTGCCACGAAGATTGACTTTAATGGAAAATTTCTTGGAAAAATAGTTTTTTAACTCGAGGAATCAGGAAGAGATGGCAGTGGGAGATGCTCTAACAACTCTTTAACTCGATTTTTGTTTTTACAGGGGGTCGCCTTCATTCTCCTACGTACAAATTTTGGGTTAATTTTCTTTGATTTATCATTGCCAAGTGATTCTTACATAGGTCACGTTGGTGCAGTTTTTCATGTACATAGGGTTACTGTCAACTGTCTAGTCTTTCCCATACTTTCTTAATTCACCCCAAATACTCTTTTTTTCACCTCTCTCCCACAATTTATTATAACCGTTATAAGATTTATTTAAAACTACTCATAAATATTTATAACATTGTTGTTGTAGTGAAACATCATACAGAATAATGTTGAAGCGCATTCATTATCCAAGTTCATGCCCTCATAAGGTTGAGGTTTCTCGGTTTTCTGCTGATGGGATTGGCGACTCAGAATAACATAAGTTTTTACATTCGTCATCCAGGGGCTGGCTTGTGTGTCTGACTGTGATGATGAACACGGCCGTTGCTTCTTCGGTCTGTCAGCTAGACCTATTGAGCATTGTGTTTTCCGTCTTGGTCTTTCTACTATGGTTTTATATGTATATTTTTATTCTTGATTGAATTGATCAGTTACAACAGCCTAGCATTACATACTTGCCGTGTGGCAGTCCTGTATATGCAATGAAGGTACAATAGCGTGATAGGAGAATCGATCAGTGCAAAATTTTTTGGTGCTAGATTCTCCAAGGGCTCGGACCCAGGGAGAAAGAGGAGACGGAGAATAAAAATTAAATGTTTCATTTCATCTTATGGTGTTGACTGTTGAACCCTACCGCTGCCAATAAAAAACTCTTGAAACTCTGTTCTTATTTTCTCATACAAGAAATCAAACCTCAGAAATACTGAATATGGCAAATGAGTATGGCTCACTTTTATTTATGTACTTTGAAGCAATAAAAAAATCATTAGATACGAGTACATTGAAAAGGGATATAGGAAAACTCAACCATTGAATATCCAAATATAGATAGTTGGAATTGCATTTTAAATTTGGAAAACAAGTGGCCGCAACAGCATGCTACTGAATCCAAACCGAATCTAGCACTTCGCACTTCAAATCTGCGCATATGACCGCAATGCTGCAATAAAAAGGATCCAGATTCACCATTATTCAAATCCCCGTTCATCAAAGTAATCCAAGTCAAAATATCTCTTTCTATCAAGCGATCCAACAGATACCCTCTATTTTTAGATTTGAAGGAGCTGATGCCAGTCACGCAGAAGAGAACTCTATTCACTATAAGAAATAGTCAAGTTCATTGGATATCTATGACAACCTTTTCCACGCAAGAGTCACGCCTAAGTTCGTCGTTGGCATATCTTAAGCATCGAAAGACATTTGACTAATTCATGATGATGTTTATAGCATTGACCATGCTTAATATAGTATCACAAATGATAAGGTGGAATTTACTTATTCACAGAGAACAACCTTCCATTGTTTCACATAAAACCTCTTATTCTCCCTCCCCCCTTTACTTTTTCTCTTTTCAGTCTTGTATTTCTCATGATATTTTTGCTCACCACACAATATCAATCTCCGCTTGTAGTTGTATCATTAGTCTCCAACTATGTTGAGCTATTCTGGGCTCCTCACTATTTGCTCACATGTTGGGAATAAGGTCGGTAAGTACAATTTATTGTGGTGGTACTTGTAGCTGACAGATGCAGAGGACATACAAATTATTGAAACAGTCGCGTATTTTTTTTGCTTATTTTAAGTAATTTCACCAAGAAAATGATAGTAAGTGTTTTAAATGGTTGCAGATTTTCAGGTTAGAACAGCCATAAAATTAATGGTGGACTTTTGTGACACGGTTGAACATATGTACAGCCAAAGCTAATCAAATGGTTCAATACATAATTAACGAAAATGCTTTCCTTATAAAATAACCTTATGTGTTTCCAGTTATATAGCTCCAAGAAGAATGATCTGAAAACCATTATTTAAGCGGAAGGATGGATCCTTTTGGACCATGCTTCCATTGGTGGTAGAAAATGATCCACAATGAATGGAAGAGGATTTTCACTATACCATTTTTATTTTTTTGCCTTTTTACACTCTCTTGTTACAATTAAAAAGCATGAGAAGAAGGCATATATATCATCAAATTCAAAAAAGTAATTTGAACCGATAAAATTTTTCGTTATTTATAAATTTATGAACAATTTGCAGCTTAGTATCTATATAGGAAAATCTTAAAGGAAGGGGAAGAATTTGAAAATTTGGATGATACGTATTGCTTTTATTTTTTCTCTTCCTGTTTCTCTTCTGGCTTCTCCTCTGCTTTCTCTTCCTTCTTTTCCTCTTTCTTTTCTTCTTTCTTCTCTTCCTTGGCAGGTCCAACTGATATTATATCTACCTTCCCTACTTTCTTCAGCTTCTTCACTACCGCCACTGCATCCATTTCACCAATCACTGTTAACTTCTGTTCCTTCACATCTGCAGCAATCGAATCAACCCCTATTGTTCAAAGTAACATCAGTTAAACAGATTAATATGCATCCAAGGCACAAAAAGTAAAGGTTTTTTCTATGACGAAGAAATATAGTTTCTGTGGCAAAATAAAATTATAAGTAAACACTAACCAAAGATATCTGCAGCTGCTTCTATTGCTTTCTTCTTCGTTTTCTCATCTATCATAGTAAGGACCTTTAACACCACCTTCTGCTATGGATCCAGTGAGAGACAGCAAATGCAGATAGAGACAGAAGAGAATGATGAACAAAATTTGGATCAAATAATTTAGTTCAATCATACATATAAATTTAACCAAACAAGCATGTGAATCCCCTCGAAATACCCAACAGCATGAACATGTGCATGTGGAATGAACACAAAGAAAGAGGCAGATGCAGAGAATTGAACATGAAAATCAGTACCTGAGCCTCCATTGTGAAGAGAAAGATGTGTGTGGAGAGAAGGAAAAGGAGAATGAAGGGTTGGAAACTTGTGGCCTATGTAATACAAGGCAAGGCGTGCGGTTGTGGATATCTTCTTTTATTTGTGGGTGTGTCACTGTGTGCTACATCCAAAAGATGGACACTTTAAATGCAAAATTTTTGGCCAGCATGGCTCAAAACAATAGTACACAAAGGACAAATGTTGACATGGCGATGGGTTGTTACTTGCTAGTTGCATTTTCTTTTGTCTGTGTAAAATTTTCCAAGCCATCTAGTTGAAATCAGTGTTAATTTGTATTGTGGTTGAAAACTCGTAGGATTAGCAACATTTAATTTCTTGTCTAATGCGTTGGACTCATATCAGAAAAAAAAAATGATAATAACATCTGTATACAATATTTTCATTTTCGTTTCCTTTTTACCTTGTGAGGTCAGGAAACAGATTAATAATATTTTTAAAAGCCAAATATGCAGAAGGGAAAGGGAATGATATAATTTTTTTATTTGGTAGATATATTTTGGTTACTTAGTTGTCATCCGAAACAAGCATATATAGAAGTTGCCATGCTAATATCCATCACTTTATATCAAACTTTTTTTTATAGTAATGTCAATGAGGCACCAGCGCAAGGTCTACTCATCAGGACAAATAGAATTGTAGTCAGAAGTTGGTTGAACACTCATGGACAAAAGCTTGTCACTTTTGCAGCTTAAATCCAATTGGGTTGCATGTATAATATTATTCCATGATTCTGCCTTTACTCAAAAATGCATTCACCACACTTTGTCTTCTTACCACATAACCTTTGAAAAAGGATTCAAAGGAAACAAGATCCAGTATGTATTTGGACAATTTTCTCCAAAAAAAAAAAACTTGAAAGAGATTTTTTTGTTCTAATATAAGTTAATGCGCAAATTAAAAAATTACATTTTTTTTCACTTAAAATTCTTAAGTCCATTAGAAGAGTTGAGAGAGTGATATCTAAAATAAATTTAATATTTTTATTTTAATTAAGAAGTATATATATTTAATATTTTATTTATAAACTTTTTATGTTATAAAAGTTAATAACAAATACTTTTTTTTCTACGAAACCTAAAGCTTGAGTTTTCATAACCTTATCTTGATCTGTTGTGAAATAAACTTGTGGATAGGCATGAATCAAAGTGTAATTAAATTTAACTTAAAAAATACTGATAATAACATCTTGGTCGCACAAAATAATGATAAAAATCTAATAAATAAGTTATTAAATTAAATAATTAACCCGTGTTGAATCTCGCAAGGACATAATTATAAGGACACACTCGTTACCACATATCATTCTCTTGAAAATAATAAATAAAGGAATTGATGAAAGAGTGAAAATAAAATAAAATAAATTGACGGAGAATAATAAAAATTAAAATCAAAGTGCAATAGAATAATAATGATAATTAAAATTAAATTAAAGAGGAATTTAAAAAACTTAAATTTATAAAATTAAAATAAAGTGTTTTTAATTAAATTCAAAAATTGTCAAAATAAAGTGCAAAATAAAAAATTGCTTTAAAATAATTGAATGCAATAATTAAATTTAAAATTTCTAAAAATGATAACTCTAAAAATAAATTGGGAATTGTAATTAGAATAAGAAAGAAGATGAATTAAAAATGGAAATTAAGTCTGAAAGAAAATAAAAATTCTAAACAATTAAATAGTAGAAACTAAAATGAGTATTGGATGAATAAATTAAACATAAATTGAAAACTTCAATAAAAATTACAAATTAAATAAAAAAACAAATTGAAAATGCAGTAGCAATAGATGAATTCGCCTAATTAAAAACTGAGAACAGAACATAAAACGGGAACAAGATAAAACAACAACTTGCCTCATAGCAAGAGGTTACCATTATGTTGTCATTAGACCTCTATTTATACAGAATTGAATAATAAAAATTAAGTCTAAAATTAATTATAATAAATCAAATGTTTCCCAAATAAAAAAATAATATGCTTCTTTTCTATTTTGAGCGATCCAACATTGATTCACATTTAATTCTTAGTTCCTACCTTTAATTTAGCTAAATTGGATTCCTACGTCAGTTAACTTTGTTCAAATTTTTTATTTATAAGATTCCATAAGTGAGTTTCACAAACCAACTTTGGGCTTCTTATAAGAATGAAGTTTGACTGCATCAATTTGGATCTTTATTTCCATAAATTTGTTCTATCTCAAATTCTTTTCTCCTAAAAAAATAGAATGAAATATGCATTATAGATTATGGATGTATGCATGTATATTATTTTTTATGCTAAAATTATGTAAAATACAATAAATTAAAAAAATAGAATGAAATATGCATTATAGATTATGGATGTATGCATGTATATTATTTTTTATGCTAAAATTATGTAAAATACAATAAATTAAAAAAATTGAATTATGTTATGTTTTTAAAGAAAACAATTAAATGCATGATTTATAAAAAAAATAATTAACTTAAAATAATATTATTAGATCAAAAAATAAAGAGCAGAATTGTGAAAAATAAACTATATGATATTAATAAGAAAAATAAAATCATTGTAACTGTAAAAAACAAGGAGACATCTAGGTAATATTCTCTACAAATTTTAATATTCGGAAGTAATATTAATATAATTTTTTTATTAATTATAAAAAAAATATATAAAATAGTGACATGATCCCTTGAAATTCAATCTTGGTTCCCCTAGCCATTAAAAAATTTGAATAAACTTGTAATTGAAATTTGCATTTGAAGCATGAGGTATGCATGGAAAGTTTGAAACATCATACAGTGGGATCCAAATTTAGTGGTTCAAGTTAGAGTTCAAGTCAACCATCTCAAAAAGTTTCTCTTTTTCAATTTGGAATCTCTCTCTTCTTAAACAAAAATAAAAAATAAAAATTTAAATAGAAAATTCTTCCCTTCCCTATAAGCAATGTAACGAACAGTAGAACATCACACACACCATAATTATAATTAAATGTAATAAAGGTGATATATCCAACAAAGTCATCATATATTTATCAAAGTTATAAATACGATTGACTTCCACTTATTTTCCATTTTGAACTTTAATACGTATTTTATTTTTAAAAATAAATTAGAAGAAAAGAATGTGCATAGGTTATTATTATCATTGACTATTGAATCACGTGGAATGTATAAACCTATAGAGACATTAGTAGAATATTGAAATTTCAAGATCAAGTGAGATTTTAAAAAAATAATGAATAAAATATCATCAAATAATAATTATATTAAGAAAAGAAAACATATATAAAAATATATTTTATTTTAATAATGAGAAACTTATTTATTACATAAGATTAAATTAAAGAAATGAGAATTTTAAAATTAATAAGTAAATTATTTGAATTAAAAATATAATCTCTATTCTTATTATATTTTTGTTCTAGATGATATATATAACGATGATAATTAATATATAAAAACAAAAATTGAATTTTCAAATTCGAATTATGATGAACTAAATCTCAACCGTGATGTTTATAAATGTTATACAAATATAAAAATCTAACATAAGGTAAGAAACAATTTTTTAGTCACTTTTTTTATTAGATAAGAGAAAAACTTACTAAATTTTTAGTCAAGAGTGAATACACAAATTTAATATATATGCATAATAATTATAATATGTTATTTTAAAAAAAATATTTCTTTCCATTTCTTGAGAAAATCGATTTCATGAATACTACTTTCACAATATATAGATTAGAAACTTATTGATAGTAAAACGTCTCATTAATAATGAATGAGTGAAATAAATGAAGATATGAGCGAAAGATCCTTAAATTTGCTGAAATGTTTTGAATTAATATTTTTTTATGCATAAAATGTCATACTTTTTTTTTTCACCGCCATGGGCTTGTACGTAATCCAAGTTGAAATTATCATTATATCGATATAAGAATAAAAGTTTTATATAGCAAAGATAAGATAAAAGACCAACGAGTCAATGTTCTTATACTGAATTTATTTAGATGAGATATACCATGCATTCTCGATATCCCCTATAAATTAATTTAAGTGTCGAAGTGTTATTATTGATACTCCACTGACTTAGATCCTAAAACCTTCTTGAACCCTAGAGAAGTACGAAGGAGTAAGAAGAATTTCGGAGACTACATCCTGTTAAAGAAATAGTATTCGACCTTACAAGAATAATCGTTATTATTATTTAAATTTAAGTTATATAATTGTGTAAATATTTTATATGCTGGATTCATAATTTTGTGAAATAGTGTGATTCGTATCCGGTACGAGTGTTAGAATCTTGAGATGACTTTTTAAAGATACACATTTGTTTGTCAGTTATCGTGCCCACGACAAATACCGAGTAGTCACGTGCAAAATCACTAGTGGATCTTCACGATTAATCTTGGGTGACCAAATAATATATTATTAAAAAATAATAATAAATATAAAATGGTAAAAGAAGATGAAAGGGTAAAGTATAAAATTATAAATGTATAAGTAAATATATAAAATTATCATTAAATTTTGGGGGCAAATATGAGAGTTACAAAATTGAGGAGAGGCTGAGAGGATAAAATTAAAAATATACAAGTAAATATATTAAAGTTTGGGAGGCCAAAATCATAAATTACATGAGAGTTACAAAACTTTGAGAGGACCACGACCCCCTCATTTTCTAAAAAGATATGCAAAATGGATGACTACTTATCAACCCACCCCAAGATGAATGTTCTCCTATTCCAACTTCCTCATATCCTCTAGTAGCTCATTGTGTGATTTCAACAATTTACTCGAATCAAATTTGAGAACAAACAAAAATTCATAAAAAAAAAACATGAAAACAAACTAATGTAGAATTAGAAAATAAACAAGTAAAAGTTTAAATAAAAAAATCAAATAAACTAATTTATTGATCTTTAAAACTATGATACGGTGTTATTGTAATCTTTCTAAAAATATATTTTGAAAATAATAATTGAT